CCACCTGACATCCAGGAAATTCAGTTGGGAACTGTTGAGTAAAACTGTTACAGTTACCATTTGTGTCCGTTTTGAGGACATTGAAGGGGGGAGTTTTGTCTAGGATGTTAACATTGTGACAAGTTCACTTCCTGTGCAGTAGTAATGTAGACTTGCTCTTCCTTCCCATGGGTTGCATATTTTTTAAAAAATCCAGGCTCACCTTTTGTGGGCTAAAAGAGTGATGTAAAGGTACTGTGAGAGGAGTGCTGTGCACTGTGCATTTTTAAAAAATTAGTTTGGATTTACTGTTCTTTAATTCTCTGCCCTCGTCTTCCCAGCACCACATCCTCTCAGGTCGAAGCCGTTGCCTCCTGTTCACAGGTGGGAGAGCTGAGACTGAGATGGAATGAGCTCCTGTGGCTGTGCAGTGGCAGACCCTGCTGTCGCACGCTGTCCTGTTGCCCTCTGCCGTGCCCCGTGCAGGCAGCCTGTGCTCTTCCTGCCCTCCCGGTAATGATTTGTTGAAAAACTTCACAGGTACTTGTTTAGGCATTCGTTTTGTGATTGGCTTGCTTTAGGCATTAGATGAGAAACAAATGTGACGTTTTTCTTCGAGGACATGCACACATAAAAATTACACGGTGCACCGCTCATCATCTGTACCACAGAACACACAGAATGTAGGTAAAGAGAAGCCCGTTGGCAGGGTGGGTCAGTGGGGTGGGGCGGTCAGGGAAGGCCTGCTGGCCTGAGATGGATGGATGGAGTTTGCATGGGCAGGAAGTAAACAGCATTCTAGAGGAAAGGAACTGTAGTACTTCCCCTCTGAAACCACAGGTAGTATCTAACCCTATATGTGCCGTTTTTTTCTATACATAACATGCCTATGATAAAGTTTAGTTTGTAAATTAGGCACAGTAAGAAATGAACAACAGTAGCTACTAATAAAATAGAACAATTTTAACAATATACTGTAATAAAAGTTAAGTGAATGCGGTGTGTCGTTGCCCCCCCCCCCCCAAGATGGCCACTGAAGGAACCCTGGCACTGTGGATACTCTGGACAAAGAGGGGATTTACGTTCTGGGTGGGCCAGAACCAGACATGACGAGATTTCATCACACTACTCATAAAACTTAAGAATTGTTCATTTCTGGAATTCTGAGAATGCATTTGACTGCAGGTAACAAACTGGAAAACGAAACCACAGATAAGACGCCTGTGCAGAAGCAGTTCTAGGCATGCTCGAACATGCCTAAAATGCAGTGGCGTCCGGCCCGGGAGCAGGGCGCGAGTAGTGGATGCGGAAGTCTGGCTGGTCTGGGGAGTCGAGTTGGGAAGGACTGTGAAAGCCAGTAGTTTAGATTCGATGGAGTGGCCAAAAGAGTTGTTGAAAGTTACTGAGTAAGGGTGGAGGCATGATGAGCCTCGTGTAATTTAAATTTTCCTGGTAGTAACATTTAAAAAGTCAAGAGAAATGAGTGGAATTAATTTTAATAGTTTTTTAACATTTAATTCCATATTCCAAATATTATGATATTTTAAACATGTGGCCCTAGCCACTTGTGGCTGGTGGCTGTCATGTTAGCTCAGGCTTGGCAGCTTGTGGACGGCTCCATGGAGGGGAAGACACAGGAGCCGTGGCCGGAAGGAATTCTGCATGCTGAGTAGATGGGAAAGGACGTTCCAGGAAGAGGAGTGGCTTGGTGCGCTCCATCCTTTGTATGAAAGAAACCCATTTTGACAGAAGCACATGTTGTGTGGAGGGCATGCTTTGGCAAAAGGCCAGGGAAGATAGTTTGGAAAGTGTTTTCTGATGGGAGGAAATCTGACTCTACTATTGGCAGTAGGGGGCTTTAAAGAATTTTGAGCAGGAAGTGACTTGATGGGAACCACTAAGAATGGGTCTGGTAGCAATGACATGAAGCGGGGGGGGGGGGGGGGGGCTAAAGGTAAGGAGCGGTTGAAAGCAGCGGGGCTAGGGAAAGGGTGTGCATGGGAGGGTTATTGTAGATGTAGAAATAGGAACAATTTAATTTCTCTGTTGTCTGCTGCCTTCCTCCAAACTGCTGGGTGTTGTGTAACCCATTTCCTGTTGAAATTGGTCTAGCTGCTTCAGAATCCATGTTATATAAGTCTAAAGTTACGTTACGTAAGCAGCAGGCATCAGGACATTTAGCCATGGCTTTCTCTTGTTGTAAGTTGTTTTGTGTGTGATTCAGAAATTTTAAACAAATGTATACTTTGTTTAAGGCATGTATTATATTCAGTCTTACCATATCGTGATGGGTTCTCAATCTCCAGGAGCTTCTGCAGCGATCCCAAAGAAGCTTGAAATAGTTGGCCCCAAACCAGAAAGATCAACATTTCATTTTGAGAAATAGGGCGTGTACTTTGGGAGGTCTCAGGGAGTAGTCAGGATTCCTCAGAGAGGTATGATTTAACTTTCAGTGTTTGGGAAGGGGGAAAGGAGGTGCGCATCTTCATGGGGGTGGGGGACGCGGAGCCTGGTAGGGCCGAAGAGTCCCCAGGCCTCCTTTAGCAGCATTGACCCTCCGTGTGTCTCTCTGATTCTTGGACAGCACTGCCTGCGGTGGCTCAGCTCTGCCTTGGCTTTCGGCCTGTGCTTCATGTATGGGAGCCTTTCCTAGGAAGAGTTGCACAGGTGCTGCTTTATGAGCTTTGGGAGTGGACCACTGGGTGGCTGCTGACTCTGAATTAGTCTGTAGACTGGGAAATTTCTAAAGTCCGTTTAAAGTTGTCGTCTTTCTGCTTCTCTCTTTTAGGAACGATGGAGTGGGGTTATTTAGTAGTGATGGAGATAGTGTCCTGATCCCAGATACTTTATGGTCAAGAAAGTTAGACATACTGAGAGAGTAGAACATTTTAAGATGATGAATTAATTTTTGATGTGCCTGTATTAGAGTAGACGAAGTTGTATTGTGGTAACAAACAGTCCCACCATCTCAGTGGTTTAATCCAACAAAAGTTTTTTCACATTGCCTGTCCAGCACAGGTGGGCAGGAGTCCCTTCACCTCACAGACACAGGTCACAAAAACTCCAGTTTTGTGACAGCACCGTCCAGAACATATGGCCTTCTAGGTGGCTGCTGTAGGAAGAGAGCCGGGCGGATCCCAGGCCTCAGTTTCAGCCTGGAAGTAGTATCGCTTCTGGTTACGTTTCATTGGACAGAACTAATCACGTGACGCCTCCAAAGTGCAGGGGTTGTTGGGAAATGTAGGAGAGTAAATGGAATATTTCATGAGGGTTATTCTCTCTCCTACAGTTTTGCTGTAGTGATGTGGGTGAACTTGTCAAATGGGTCAAGGTGAGACTTTTTCACTGAGTGTGAGCTCAGAGTCAGCGAGCTGCACCTGTAACACAGCTCTGAATGCGACGTAGGTGACAAGCGGGGGGGGAGAAACACCATTGTTCTGAACGAGAGAACCAGCTCTTTCTGCATTGTCTAGATTTGGGGTGTATCTCCTCATTGTGCTCTGTCTCAGAAAATGTTTTTTTGTGTGGTAGGGTCCTGTCTGTAGAATTTCTTCCTTGAAAATACAGAAATGACTTCTGAGAGGCAAAACCATTTTGTGAGTAGGGGTTATATTTCCTTTGCTATTTTAAAATTATTAACCATTTTCAGTCTTAAATTGTGGTACATGTATATAGTAATGAAAGAATTTGTTTTAAAAACACCGATACTGTGCTACTGTTTAAAGTGGGTTGTTTTGTACTTTAGTATATTAGTGCATTTTACATTGACGCAGGTGGATATATTGAAATTTAAGCCAACAATACATAAAACTAATTCATATTGGTTAATAAATTTTTTAGCTACATGTTATCCAAAACTTGCAGTATTCTCTATTGATGATAATTACAGTGGGGAATTGACTAAAGTGAGGTGAACAATTTAAGAGGTATTCACTGATTGGTGTATAAAGGGTTTGGTAAAATGATAAAGTGAAGCCACTAAGAGTTTTGTCTATTTCAGAGAAAGTTTTAAATGAACTCAGTTATCATTTGAAGTTCTGTTGCTGTGCATATTGTTAAATACACTCTCTTATGTCTTGAGACCTGTACCATGTACGGAATCAGTGCCTGAGACTTGTGAACAGCATAACGCTGTGAGCCTTTCAAAGCGTCTTCACGTGGATTCGGTCTGTTCCTCGCGGCAGCCTGTGGAGAGTTGGTAGCTTTCTTACTTCCCTCCAGGAACACTGAAGCGAACAGGTTAGGCGATGTGACCAAAGTCCTACACTTGGGGAGCAGCAGGTCTGGGGCTAGGTGGGGCCAGATCTGCCTGCAGGTAATTCATGCTGCAGTGTGTTCCTGTGTCCAGTTCAGCAAATTGCAGAAGATATGGTAAAAACGGCGCATATTTTTAGGTACCTACTGCCTGATGGGCACTGCCAACTACATTTAAAGTCAGATCTTTTGCTTTAAGATTGAAAATTAAAGCAACCATCTCACTCAAGATGTTTTTTTCCTACGCTATAAGAGCAAACCCAGATTCGGTCAGAACCAGGACTTTTATTTAGCATGTGTTTCTAAAGAAATAATTGCGGAGCAGTCTCAGTGTGTTGAGGCAGTTCAGGAAAGCGGAAGAAAAGAGCTCTACAGACAGACTTGAAGTTGGGTTCTGGCTTTCTCATCTCCAAACAGTGTTACCTTCTCTGAACCCCCATTTCTTCACCTCAGAGAAGGGGGAAGCGGTTGTCGTGAACACAGCTGCCCTGTAGGACTCGGGGGGGTGGGGGGCAGTTAATAGACCAAAGTAATGGGAAGACTGTGCAGTGCACTGAAGTCCATAGGCACTTCGGGTCAGTGTTCTCGAGGGTGTCTGGAAGTAGATGGTTCACGTGTAGGTGTGTTTCTTTCCAGGTGGGTGGTGAGAAGGTGGTGCACACGTGGATTTCCTGGGTCCCGAAGCCTGACATTTGCTCATTTGCTTCCTCCCTCTCCATCTCCCCCCGCCCCCCACCCCTGTTTTCCTTTTGCTGCTCTTGTTCCAGGGAATGACCATGGATAAAAGTGAGCTGGTACAGAAAGCCAAACTCGCCGAGCAGGCTGAGCGCTACGATGACATGGCCGCAGCCATGAAGGCAGTCACGGAACAGGGCCACGAACTCTCCAACGAAGAGAGAAACCTGCTGTCCGTTGCCTACAAGAACGTGGTGGGCGCCCGCCGCTCTTCCTGGCGCGTAATCTCCAGCATCGAGCAGAAGACAGAGCGGAACGAGAAGAAGCAGCAGATGGGCAAAGAGTACCGTGAGAAGATAGAGGCGGAGCTGCAGGACATCTGCAACGATGTTCTGGTAAGGCTGGGGTTTCTGTTCTGAAGTGACTTCTGGGTTGTGTTGATTTAATGTACGAACAGCTCAGAACAGCTTATGAGGCAAAGGTGTCCGAATATGCTGGAGAACTACAGATCATTTGCAACTAACTTTCAAGCATATGATGTGATTTTTCCCACCTCTGATTTGATCAGAGGTTGCTTATCACTTTTGGGGACTTTTCCTCTCCCTTCAAAAAGACCTGTGAAAAACAGGAACATTGAGTCAGCATCCCTCCATCTTTTCTTTACTGATTGAGTCCAGATAGGCAGGGTTACAGATGGATGCAGCTACAGATACGCTACTCTGGATTTCAGGAGCAAAGAGCTGAGTTGCCTTTCAGCCTTTCCCCAGTCATGCCTACCCAGTGTAAAGTCCCGTTTTTGTCTGAGAGGTAGCCACGTTGGGCAGCTCAGGCCTGTATCGCAAAGCCAAATCACAGTGGTTTGGGGTTCTCCTGTTCCGTGTTTTATAGAAGCCGTACTCGGGGGTTGATTCCTAACTGCTTTTGCTCTGACCACCATCTGGGGTGGGGCGGGGTACGCATCCTATCGCAAATTATGATCATACTGTCCCTCCCTCATCCTGGGCCCACTGGGAAAACTCTTTCTTCCAGGTGAAATCAGGTAAGAAATGAATGGTGAGGGCTGCTCTGAAGGGAAAAGGAATTCACACTTGGGGGTCCACCCCCCCACCCCCGCCCCGGCTGCCTCTCTGGGTTACTGCCCATGACACCTTTCTTTTGGAGACCTGCAGAGAGTGTGCCAGCGTCAGGCAGCTCCCACCCCTCACCCATACGGAGTTACACCCTGCCGGTCTGCAAAGAGTATTGAAATGACTCCTGCCCCTTGCACCTCCTCCCCTGGATTGACCCAGTCCCCTTATAACTAAGCCTTTGCATTGAGCTGCTCTTTTTGTTCGACTCACAGTGTAGGACTGTCGTGACTGAATGTGTCTCCTGTCGGTACCGCGGGGGTTGTTAATGGTGCACTGCTTCCTGAATGTTAGGTGCATCTGGCACTCAGATGAAGGATGGCATGTATTCCGAGGGCAAGGAAGTGCTATAATTCCTGAAAATGTAGACCAGCTTTTAAGAGCACCTGAAAGAATGTGAAGAAAGCATGGTACTTACTGCCTCTTAACCAGTTTTTCAGGATGCCACATTCTAAAACAACTCTTCGAAAATATTGCTCTGTTTACGAAGCTTGGACTCCTTCAGAACTGCTTTTGTTGTAAGCATAAATGTTTAAAGGAATTTATTCTCAGTACTAGTAGTAGCTACTTTTTAAGTGCTTACTGTGTGCCAGGCAGCCTGTTAAGCACTGTTACGTACGTGAGCTCTTTCGCACAGCTGCCCTAGAAGGTGGCTGTTGTGCTTCCCGGTGCAGAACTGAGGAAACCGAGGCTCAGGGTAATTAGGGCATTTGTCCAGGGTCCTGCAGATAGTTCCTGTTCCCTAGAGAACCATTGTTAACATTGAGAAATAGAAATAGCCCTCCAGACTTTTTCTGTACCTATTTTTGTGTGTGTGCACACATATTTTTTAATATTAAAATAGAATTGATGTGTTATTTATAATCTTTTTTTTTCCACTCAGACTTCTTTTGAGAACCTTTTCATATTATCACTGTAGTTCTGCATTGGCATTTTTAAGGCCTGCCTAGCGTTCCATTGTACGGCTCCACTTGAGTCAACCAGCCCCGTGCGGATGGCCGCAGGGGTTTCTAACAGAAGAACACAGACGTCCGCTGTTAGGGCCTGGGCTGAAACCCATTGAAAAGCTTTGGATGGAAAATTTTTTTTAATCTACAAAAAAATTATTTAGAAGTGGTAGTGTGTATCTCCAATCTCATAGTTTTAACGTCTTGTGAATATTTCCAGATTCTTAACAAACTGAATCATTTTTTAGGAGCTGTTGGACAAATATCTTATTCCCAATGCCACACAACCAGAAAGTAAGGTGTTCTACTTGAAAATGAAAGGAGATTATTTTAGATATCTTTCTGAGGTGGCGTCTGGAGACAATAAGCAAAGTAAGTAACTTTTTTTTTTTTTAAGAGAAATTTGACCAGTAGTGCAGCTAGTCTTCCTTCATAATAATTTTAACATAGTTTTTCCCTTGTTCATTCACCATGAACACTGACACTGCAGTACTCAGAATCCAAAACATCACAGCGTCGTGCTGACCTGCGATAGGGTCATGGGGGTCGACAGATGAAATGTGTCCAAGGGGAAGAGGCGGTGGAGGGCATTAAACGTCGGGTGCAGTAGTGCTTTTAAAGAGAATTTTATCTTGGGATTATTTGGTAGCTCTTTTTAAATATTTTATTTATTTTTATTTTTAGAGAGGGAAGGGAGGGAGATAGATAGAGAGAGAGAGAGAAACATCAATGTGCGGTTGCTGGGAGTTAGGGCCTGCAACCCAGGAATGTACCCTGGCTGGGAATCGAACCTGGGACACTTTGGTTCCCAGCCCGCGCTCAATCCACTGAGCTACACCAGCCAGGAAAGATTTTATTTCTTTATTTTTAGAGAGGGAAGGGAGGGAGAGAGAGAGAGAGAGAGAAACATCAATGTGCTGTTGCTGGGGGCCATGGCCTGCAACCCAGGCATGTGCACTGGCTGGGAATCGAACCTGCGATGCTTTGGTTCACAGCCCGAGCTCAATCCACTGAGCTACGCCAGCCGGGTCTTTTTATAGGTGAAACTTGAAATCAAGTTGGATGACATGAAACCACCGTACAGAGATGCATTTCTTTTATCACATGAGTTACTGTAATGGTGGTAATCGTAGGTTGTTTTATTAAGTGCGTACTGTGTGCCAGGTATTGTTGAGCTTCATTTATTCCTTACACCCCTGGGAGTTTAGGTGGGAGTCACTTCGTTTTTCTGATAAAGAAACCCAAGTCTGGAGATTCATACCATAGACCTGGGGAAGCCATACACCCAGTGAACACGAAGAGTTGGTGACTCGAGTTTGGGTCTCAAGTCTGTGGCCTTTCCACTGTAGAGCATTTTGGTTTTATGTTCAGTCTTGTTAAAGGTTATTTCTGTGTTTCTTCACTACTTCAGTGGGCTTCATCTTAGCTGTCTTTGTTTTCCTTCAAAACATTTAATATAGTACATCAAATGGCGGAGACACCAGTCCCCTCATTTGATAGCTCATTTAATCCAGCCAAGTTTGGTAAAATAATTTGATATTATGCAGCCTGTGAAAGAACCCAAGACTTTAATATTTTTTAATCTTTCTTTTAGCCACTGTGTCAAACTCTCAGCAGGCTTACCAGGAAGCATTTGAAATTAGTAAGAAAGAAATGCAGCCTACACATCCAATTAGACTTGGCCTGGCTCTGAATTTCTCGGTCTTCTACTACGAGATCCTGAACTCTCCTGAAAAGGCTTGCAGCCTGGCGAAAACGGTGAGAAGGCCCCTCTGTGGTCTGTGATAATAGGAAAACAGTGCTGTGCTCTTCAGTAACTTATTGCCTGAATGTAACTCATTGTCCTCGATTTATTTGAAGACTTTGGGGAGGTGTGGGTAGGAGTTAATGAAATAAATTCAGACCTACTTTTTGATTTCTTAACATCTGCTATTTTTGTTTTACGTTTGTTGTTTGGTTACTATTTTAAGGGCATGGTTGTGGGAAAATCAGGGTGAAGGTAGTTTCTTGCCAAGCTCTGGACTGTTGGGCTCTTGTACGTGTTACCTGTCCCTGGTGCTGAGGTTTGAGGCTCCGGCCGTGTAAGGGGGAGAAATAGGGCCGTGGTGTAGTGTGTGTGCCGGGCTGCCGGCTGCCTCCTCATCTCTCACTGACCCGGCTGCCCTTTCTACATGTTTTTGTAGTCACTGACCATGCACACTGTTACTTTAAGGTTTTCTTTTTTTTTAATTTAGAAAAGGGATGTGAAATGAATTTTCAAAGTTCCATTACTGGGTCAAATCAGATTTAATGGTGTGAATTTCCATTCTCCCTTCATCTCTTGTATCCAGACCTTTTGAGGTTTTTATTTTTGTTTTTTAAGGATTGATAGAAATGTCTTTGGTAATTAAGAAATTAGATGAATTTGCCTGGAACGAACGTTCCTTTAACAGTATACCTGCTGACTTGCTGAGTACAGTAAAGTCCTTACCTAGGAATTTTGGTCCTTCTTGGTTGGTGCTTCACAAACATGTATTATATGTTTGCCGAGACAACTGGCAGATGAAGTAACAATGGCCTGGGTTCCCCAGAGTACTGGACAGGAGGAGAAATTGTATTTACTTGTTAGCAGGAAGAAATTGGGCTAAACTTGCTCGAGAGAACCTGTGGCTTCTTTGCTAAAGGCTCTTTGTTGTAGGCGTTTGATGAAGCAATTGCTGAATTGGATACACTGAATGAGGAGTCGTACAAAGACAGCACGCTGATCATGCAGTTGCTTAGGGACAATCTCACTGTGAGTACCGCTGGCTTCGGTGCCTGCTTTGGAGGGTTGACGGTCTCTATTCACCCACCTCATAATTCACTGGTGCCTAGGACTCAAGAGGGGTTTGGCATCTTCCAAGTACAGTTCACATTGTTGAACTGGTTAAATTCACATGTTTAAATGAGCACGCAAGTTTTGACCTTTGTGTGGCCATCACTGTCGGCAATTTTTAACGCCCCGGGGAGACCAGAGGCTGCGGGCCAGGAAGCCTCCCCAAGTGAGTTTCAGTGGACCTGTTTTGACCACCGCTCTGTTTTTCTCTTGCAGCTGTGGACGTCGGAGAACCAGGGAGATGAAGGAGATGCCGGGGAGGGAGAGAACTAACGTCTTTCGTGCTTCGTGATCTGTTCAGTGTCACTCTGTACCCTCCACATATAACCCTTTGTGCGATAAAAAAAGAAAAAGGAAAAAAAAATCGTACATCGACTTTTCGATTTTTCACAACCTCAGCCTAGGAAAAATGGTCCATGGGATAATCAGCTGGTATTTGTATCTCAAACTCAGATTGGTCACATAAATGCCACGGCATTCTGAAGTTTCAATTTTTAACATTGACAGGATTACTGTGTGTTTAATTTGTTTTGAAACTGAACACTGTGATTATGGGGTTTTGTAACTAAGCAGAACTCTTACTGGTAGAAAAAACTAGACCTGAATTCTCTGAACTTTTTGGGAAGTTCATCTGATACCAGAACAGTCACTGAAACACAGCCCCATTGTAAAGTTGTGCAGAAAGTTACACAGCTTGTGTCGTAATGCTGGGACTCGGAGTGAGACAGCTGTCACTCACAGTCGAGTCTGGTGGCAGTTCACAGCAGCTCTGCCTGCCGTTTAGGGCTTCCTAGACACTGGACCGGTTTGGGCTACTGCCACTCAAAAGTTTATGGCCGCAGATGTCCAGTGTCTTCCTCTGCGGAAGCTCAAAGTTGAAGTTGATCATGGCAGGTAACTGGGTTGGGACACCATGAGAAGGTCCAGTGCTCAGAGTGCCACACGTGGCTGAAACCCCTGTCCCGCAAACAGCGCCACCGATGCGCGGCCTGCACTCCAGTCGTGGAACCCGTTTTCCCTGTAACCATGAGCTAAAGAAGAATGAACGCCGCGTATCTTACGCGTGGTCCTGTCTGTCTCCTGGGTGGCACCTTTAAGAATAATGTTCTGCAGAGATTGCCTTTCACATGAGTAGTGCTAGGTCTTTGGGTTCTTCCTGGCTCCGGGCTTTTAAATTTTCAAATCTAAACATTCTTTCCCACTTTCTGACTGTTGACTTTCTTTTTCTCTTCCCTCTTTAAATTTCTGTCCTCCTGCTTCTTTACCTTTTTTCCTTTTTTGAAGTCTACGTGTCTTGTTCACGGTGTAATACTGTATGGGCAGGGATAGGGGGCCGGAGGGGGTGAGCAGCGAAATCAGAGAGCACTTCGGCGAGTGGGCCTTGTCTCGGAGTGGCGGAGAGCTTCCAGCACCATAGCTCTGTCTTCCTGTCTCGGCACAGCTGCTGCTCTTAAGTCACACCACAATCTGAATCCAAAAAAAAAAAAAAGTATTTTTAAGTGTCCATGACTTCCTGTATTACAGCCAGCCCTGATAATGCTTGTTAGTGCCTGTCACCAGATCTCCCAACTCATCCAGCCGCGTTCACAGACATGTTTAAACAAGACCCTATAATGCAGGAAAGTTGCATGAATGCTTGCAATGGGGAGAATCCAGAGTACCCGGGCCTACCAGTCTCACAGTACCCCCCCCGTCTGTAACATTCCACACAGCTGTAGTATCCATCTGTTTGTCCATCTGCTGAAATGAGAGAAGAAACATTCATGCACTGATGAAAACAAACCAAAAGAAAAAAGAAAAAAAATCCCCTCTTTCTAGCCGAACAAAAATGTGCAGTTAAATACTTGGCGCTTGAAAATGCAGTAGTGAATGTGGAACGAGCCTGTCTGTATATCTGGTAGCTCTTTCTTGCTTTGTTTTTTCTTACCAGTATTCTGCCTCACGTTTGCTTCTGTGATGGTTATATTGCCTAGCAAGCACACCCGTGGTTGTGAAAATAGTGTAGAGCAAAAAAAGAAAAATCCCTGGTTATTGATGTACTAGATTTGTGTATGTCTTTTAAACAGTTCTAGTTTCCACCGTACACGGAATAATCAGGAAACGTGTAAAAATTCAAACGTGAAATAAAAAGTTTTATCAGTTAGTTGCCTGTGAATTGATGTGTGGAACTATCTGTTACTGCCAGAATTAGCTAACTTTCTGGCTACCCTTTGGGCTCTATAAAAAGGAGGCAACAGCCATGTCATCCTTTGGAACCAGAGGTCAGGGTGCTGGGGGAAAGAAATGACCATTAACACAGAAGCTGCCCACCTTCCAAAAACTGGGTGTTAGGTCTTTGGGGGCTTCAAAGATTGGTGTAGCCCGTGGATTTTGCATTACATTCAAGTCCCCACTCTTATTTTTTGAAAATATTCTACGTTCTTATTACTGATTTTTAGGGAGGAAAGGAGAGAGACATTGATTTGTTTGCTTATTTGTGCATCATTCGTGGTTTGAGTCGTGTGTGTTCCCTTGGATGGAACTTGCAGCCATGGCTTATCTGGCGATGCTCTGAGCCACTGAGCTACCCAGCTAGGCCCCTGCACCCGGACCTGGGCTATTACACCCTGAGATGGAACCAAGACAGAGAGATGGTTGCATAAGGCCTGGTCATCTCCAAAGTAATACCAGTCTGTCGTCTGCCCCAACGCTGTTTATGGGAGCTGGCAGCACTGGGCTTCCTCGGGGGATTTGCCCCTTTCTAAAAATGTCCGCAAGGAGAGAAGAAATAGGACAGAGGGGGTATTTTTTAGTCCCAAGATTAGAACTGGTGCATTCTTGCTGCTGTAGGCTGGGCAGCCCGACCAGCCCCCGTCCTGTCAAAATCACATCCAACCAAGGGTCAGTGGGAACCTCCCCGCCATGTTGCAGCAGGGAAATCGGGAGTACTGTCCTGCAATGGGGTGGAATTCCTTGGAGGTGAACCCACGCTACGGGTCGAAGCTGCACACTCAGACCGACAGAGGGGTCTTGCTACACAGCTTGGGAACATCACCCTGACATTCTGTTAGGTCCTCAACTTTCCATACAGGCTTGGGTGAACCTGGTGGCATGCACCTGCATGGAATGGAATCTGAGAAAGGTGGGCAGGGAATATCCTAGGCATAAGAGCCAGTGTCAAGGAATAGTGGTTGGACTCCCACATGAAGGGAAGGACCCAGAAAGGCAATGACGTTGAGGATTAGAACCCAGGTCTCTGCCCCTCCCAGAGGACTCGGCTCCACCGCCTCTCCGCAGCCGCCCCCCGGGGCGGGGGGGCGGGAGGGCTCTCCCCGCCTCTGGAGGCGGGGCCAGAGATGCCGCCCACCTGAGGCTTCTAGAACGTTGAGGGGGTTCCAGGTGGGGAGCTAAGAAGGGAGGGGCCCCGAGGAATACCGATTGGCGCGCGGGGCGCCGGGGATGGTAAAGAGAGGGGTGGCCAGCCCGGGGAGCGGGAGTCCCGCGCTCCCCGTTTCCCGCGCCGACCGCCATGCACGCCAGCGGAGCGGGTCTCCCGCTCGCCTCTCTCTACGTGGGCGACCTGCATCCAGACGTGACCGAGGCCATGCTCTACGAGAAGTTCTCGCCCGCGGGTCCCATCCTGTCCATCCGCGTGTGCCGCGACGTGGTCACCCGCCGCTCGCTGGGCTATGCCTACATCAACTTCCAGCAGCCGGCCGACGGTGAGCCCCGGGGGAGGGGGGCACCGACAGACGGGCGGCATCTCGGCCATCCGCTCTTTCATCTCTTCTGCAGCCAGGAAAACAGGCCCAGAGACGCCCCTGAAGCAGGAACGAGCAGTTGGTGTGCGTCTGCTGTTCGTTTTACTGGTGCTCCTTTTTGCAGAGGGGAGGGTATGAAAGGCTGCTTAAAAACAGGCAAGGACTTGGGGGCCAGGCCGACCTTGGATTTGAAAGCCAGCAGCTGTGTGACTTTGAGCAAATTGCTTAACCATTCTGAGCTTCCGTTGCCTGTCTAAAGAAGGGGGTGGGACCTGCCTGACAGAGTGGTTGGGAAGAGGAGAAAATTCAAAGCACCTGGTGAGGACGATGTGGAAGGCGTCGCAGGTGATGAGTAGGGAAGCCAGGGGAGCTGGGTTTGGGGCTCCGCCTCTTCCAGCAGGGTAACCGGAGGTCTGCACCCGGTGCCTCCCCCTTGGCCAGCCCTGAGAAGCCACCTCCCCTCTAGGCTCGGCAGCCCGTTTCTCAGAGCTAACAGAATTGCCCAGAGCTTTCCAGATGGATATGTTCACACTTCCGTTGAGAGGGTTTCAAGACTAAGAGCACCGGGTTTTGTTTGAGCTCTACCACTAGGGTGTGAGCTTGAGCAAGAGTTCACACTCCACGCTGCATCTGTGAAATGGGGCTGAGGCTTAATCCCCAGCAGCGTGGAAGGAGAGCTGTGTCTATGAAGTATCTCTAGTACATTCGAAGGCCTCAGTAAGTGGTCATTTAAGAACAATAATAGTAACTGTATCGTTCAGGTGTTAAGTCTCTAGAAACAACCAAAAGAGGCTTGCCTGGCCAGCTCCAAAAGAGAGCGCCCTTACCCCAGTCTCCTGGGTGGATGGGGGGGCTCCCTGAGCTGGGGGTGATTCAGCCTGTTTCCCAGTGGGTGAGGGATGACTGAGCTGGATTCCAGGGGGACTTCCCCTTTGCTCTGCTTTCCCCACCCACTGCCCTTTCCATCTTCCTCCAAGCCTTGCACCACCTGACCTTTTGGCCAGACTTCATAGGTGCTGAAGCTGAGCTCCAGAGAGGAGGGGTTTTGCCCCTGGGTGGTCATTGGCAGGACTAGATGGAAAAAGCAGACTTCCTGAAATGCCAAGTTCCTCTCTCTACCTGTGAACATGGAGGAATCCTTGGAGCAGGAGACAGCATGTTACCTGGGAGAGGGACAGGCCGTAGTAGTGGCAGGAGGACGGGCAAAGGCTACTGTTTTCAGACGCGTTGCCATTTGCCAACCACCTGTTTTGTGCTGGGCGCATAGGACAAGGCACCTTGCAGACCTTATTTGACTTCCAGCCTGTGCAGCAACATGGAAGTAGATGGTATTATCTCCCTTTGCTGAGTGTGAGACGGTGGTTAATATTATCACCATCCCTGCTTTACAGGAAGAAGCCAGCTCAGAGAGGTGATGTGCTCCTCCCCCAGAACCCTGCTGCTCGGGATCAAATCTCAACTCCGCTGCTCAGCGCCTTGAGCTTTAATTTCCTTAGACTGCCGCCACCACCGTTTGTCCTAGGAGTCCTCCTTTACATTTTTATCTGCTCAGTGTGCTTTAGCGACCACAGGAGACCTGGCTCTGCCACCGATCCTTCCCCTCTCTGAGCCTCAGTTTTCCCTTCTGTAAAGTGGGGGTAGGAATTTGTGCTCACGTGGCTACAGGGAGGAGTTTGAATGAGATCATAAAAAATGGGAGGAATGCCATACATTTCATTTTTATCCTTCCTGGGTCTTCAAGCTCTTCTCTCCAGTGAGACCCAGAGACTGGCTTTTTGTTTTTTTCTTTTGGAGGCGGCTCCCAATTAAGCACCTGAGGACCCAGGGAAAGAAAGTCCCCTTATCTTGCTCCTTTCTCTCCTCCTCCTGTCCAGCCGAGCGGGCACTGGACACAATGAACTTCGAGGTGATCAAAGGCCAGCCCATCCGCATCATGTGGTCCCAGCGAGACCCCGGGCTTCGCAAGTCGGGCGTGGGCAACATCTTCATCAAGAACCTGGAGGAGTCCATTGACAACAAGGCCCTGTATGACACCTTCTCCGCCTTTGGGAACATCCTCTCTTGCAAGGTGGGTGCGCCTCCTGAGGGGGGGATGTCTGCGTCAGGTACCTGTGTGGTAGAGCAGCCCCTCACCTGACAGTATGTGAGGTCTCTTCACGTAAGCAGCAGGTTCAGGGAGTACCTGAATGATAGTGACCCTTCCAGTTCCGTCTTCATAGACCTGTTGGAGGCCTGTGTTTCAATCCACTCCGGCTGTGTACCCGCCCTAAAGCTACGGCACTGTCGACAACCATTATTTAGCTTATAATTCTGCACTTGGCGATTTGGGTGGAGTTCGGCTGGGCAGGTCGTTTGGCCTTGGCTGAGCTCCTTCCTGTGCCCGTGGAGAGCTGATTGGCTCTGCTTTGAGGCAGTGGCTGGCTGTCAGCTGGAGCATCTCAGCTTTCCTCCCTGTGGTCTTTCCTCCCCCAGCAGCCTAGCCCAGGCTGTCCCCATGGCAACGACAGGGGCCCGGAGGTAGAGTGGGAGCTCACCGGGCCTCTTGAGATCTGAGTGCGGAACTGGCCCGCCGTCACTTCCTCTGCATTTTATTTGCCAAAGCAAGCCACAACACCAGGCCCAATTCAGAGTGAGAGGACCATAGAAACTATAGGACAAAAGCTGTGATTACAGCAAGGCCATTAATGGAGGCTGTCATGGCCGGACCTTGTTTTTATGATTTATAAGAGAATGGAAGTTTTGTATGAGTAGTGAACCTGTTCTTCTTCACCTTTGTGTCCCAGTATCTGGAATGAGATGTGACACATGGTAGATGCTCAATAAATCTTTATTCCCATTTCCCCCAATCAGGCTTAGAGGTTAAGAAATGGCTGAAAAGTGTTCTTATGGCAACTATTAACAAGATAAGTACAGTGCCCTTAGCAGGTGCTTGGCCCAAAGCAGGAGCCCAGTCAACATGACTGAATCCGAATGGAAAAGCTGGCACTTGAGTCGAAAGTGCGGGAACCCTGTTTGGGGCTGGAAAGTGGAGGAGGGTGTGGTGGGCTTGGATTTGGAAGCAAGACTAGTCCAGGGCCAACCAAAGAGCCTCCAATGCCAAGTTGATCTAGTTCCATGGAGGGCAGGAGCTGCTGGAAGCAAGGTCCCAAGGGGACACGGTCGCAGTAACATTTTAGGAGAAGCATACCAGTGGTCAGCATGGAAGCTGGGTTGGGAGGCGGGGTGGTTGCCTAGGCAGAAAATGCCACTTAGCTGAGCTGGGCACTGGCTGCAGAGGTGGGCGGAGCCAGGGGCACTTGAAATGGGCCTTAGTGGTCTTAGTGCAGGTTCAACCAGAGGGCTGGGAACTGTGTGACCCAAAGACTTTTCCCGGTCTCAAGCTTTGTCCTTCTCATTTGAGCCAGGAGGCTTGCAAAACGGGGGGAGAACGTTTGTAGGTCTTTTACAGAATTAAAACAAGTTTGTTGTTGGAACAGTACATAAAGTGGTAGCGTTTAAACAATGTAGAAAGGAATGAGGTGAAAAAGAAGGCTCCATCCTTTTCAATCCCAGTCCCCAGAAATAGTCGTTGTTAACAGTTTTGTGTGTTTCTGTTTAAAATTTTCCCATGTGTAGATTGCCACTTTATTAACCCAACGGGGCTTGATTTTTTTTTCCCCCTTAATGATATGCCCTCCAGATCAGTGTGTGTCAGCTGCATAACCTGCCGGTTCCCTTCAGCTGCACACACGCAGTCAGCCAGTATGAATGTAGCTTACCTCACTCGTCTCCTTGATGGGTACTCCGATTGTTTCTAGTTTGCTGTTACAAACAAGGATGCAGGGCCCTGGCCGGGTAGCCCAGTTGGTTAGAGCATTGCCCCCATATACCAAGGTTGTGGGTTCGATTCCTGATCAGGGCACATACAAGAAGCAACCAGTGACTGCATGAATGAGTGGAATGACAAATCAATGTTTCTCTCTCTGTGTGCTGCTTTCTCTTCTTCTTGCGCTAAAATAAATGAATAAAGACAATTTTAAATATTTTTAAAAAGCAAAAAAAAAAACAGGGATGCAAAAATAGAGGTTTGAATCTGATCCTCTTGCCCATCACCTTAGCAAGATAATTCACAACTTGTCTTTGGTACAAAAGACCTGTGCTCAATTTGAGGACCCTGTTCCTCCTTACTGTGTGATCCTAAGCAAGTGGATCAACCTCTCTGAGCTTTAGTTTCCCATCTAAAATGGAGTGTTGTGCACAAAGCAAGCCCTCTGACGTGAGCTCTTATCGTCCTGCTGTTCTCTCCTACCTGAACCCTCGGTCGGATGCTCTCCTTGTCCCTTTTCTGTATGGCCCAGGTGGTGTGTGACAGTCACGGCTCCCGAGGCTTTGGCTTTGTCCATTTTGAGACCTACGAGGCCGCACAGAAGGCCATCCGCACCATGAATGGGATGCTGCTGAATGACCGCAAAGTGTGAGTGGCGGGCAGGGGGGCGGGCTGAAGCTGAAGGGACAGAATCATGGCACTACCAGCCGGGGACCCATGCGACCCGCCACCATCTCACGGGCACCAGGCACCCAGCAGCAACCTGTGTCCTTCCTGGCGGTGTGACCCTGGGAGAGTGGCTCGGCCTCGCAGGGCCTCCCTTTCCCCAAAGAGAGATGGGGCTGCTGGTACGCTTGGAGGGCTGTTCCGAGCAGTAAGTGAAGAGATGGTCCTGAAGTCCTAGCAGGAACAGCTGACGGCCAGATCGTCCGTGGACTCAGCCTTCCTAGCTGCTTGTGAATTTTTTCTCAAGCCTTCTGTGTCGTTTCACGGGGGTTTCGGACAGGAGGGAAAGTAGGCGTGTGCTTAGCTGGTGCTTCTTCACCCGGTTCAGTTTGGCTTCGTCCTCACTTCACAGATGGGAAAGTTGGGATGCGTGTGCTGGAGGGAAGGGGCTCTGGCGGCGACCCCCGCCCACAGCTTTGCTCCTGCCCATGGGGTGGCGGGGCCCCTGCTCAGGGCTGTGGAGGCTTTGAGCTGGGAGCTGCCCTCAGAGTCTTCTGTCCGGGGTTTCCCCGGGGAGGCTCCGGTCCACGAAACTGAACCACGGCGGGCTTTTCCCAGAAGGACGTTGTCTTTGTCAGCTCCAGTTTGTCCCAGGTTACCTATGCCACTGTTTTTTCCGGTTTTTAGTGGCAGCTACAATTTGTTTGTGCTACATGGGCTGTGGAAACCATCAGATTTTCTTATGCTTTTTTTTCTTCATCTATGACACTTTCTTCGATGTGTTGACATGAATTTGGACGTGACCACTTTTAAAATTACTGCTGTTTTTAAGAGACGCCAGTTCCCCCAGAGCACCACTGGTGTGGACCGCGCCTCACTCTATCCCCACTGTTCTCCCAGCATGCCCAGTACACAGTAAATGAATGAGCATGTCCCTCTGGTATGAGTTTGATCCCAGTTTTACCAGAAGGAACATGGAGGCTCGGAAAGATTACAGAACTTGCCACAGCTAGGCAACCGCAGAGCAAGGATTCAAATGTGACTTCCAAGTTCATGCTCTTATCTGCTGTGCACTCAGCTGCTTGGGGTGTCTGGTAGGAGTTCCTTGGGCAATTGCCACAAGAATTAAGTCTTCTTAACCTTACGCTGGCATGTATAATCGTGGCCTTGGATATATTCCATCTAAGAAGTGTTGCCCTACCCGGTCTTCTGATGAGGGAATCAGAGGCCTGGAGGCTGGTAGTAATTGACCCCAACGACCCAGGCTTGCCGGACGGGCTGGGGTGGAGATGGGGGTGGCTGATGGCTGGCAGCTGCCTACCCTGTCGGTGTGTCTGCAGCTTCGTGGGCCACTTCAAGTCCCGATGGGAGCGGGAGGCTGAGCTGGGGGCGGGGGCCGCGGAGTTCACCAACGTCTACGTGAAGAACCTCCAAGTGGACGTGGACGAGCAGGGCCTGGGGCAGCTCTTCTCCCCGTTTGGTGGGTGTGTTTCCCGAGGGAGTTTGGGGTCACTTTCTCTTCTGCTTCCTGGTCAGGCTGGGAGGAGGGACTTCCCTGGGGCTTCCTGGGGAATTGTGGGAGGAAAGGGGGAACACCTTGGGCTCCCCAGCCTCCCCTTTGAGCCAGGTTGGGTCTTCCCAGGGAAGATGCTGAGCGTGAAGGTGATGAGGGATGACAGCGGCTGCTCCCGAGGCTTTGGCTTTGTCAACTTTGAGAAGCATGAGGAAGCCCAGAAGGTAGGAGCCTGCCTCCCCAGGGCCCCGTTTTAAGGAGGAGGTGCTGAGCCAGGACTAGGAATAAGGGAGATCAGGAGCAGAGGGCTCCAGCTGCCTGTGGAAGGAAAGGGAGTCCCGCCCCTGCCCCGGCCACTCGAGTCAGGGCCTTTCCTGCCTGTGCTGAAGGCAGAAGGCTTAAGCCTCCTTCAGTGGCTTCCAAGCCATGAGGCTGGCTTATTTGCATACATTCTTGCTGGAAGGTGGAAGGGGCCTTCGAGACAGCCACTACCCTCTTCTTGAATTGATGGCAGGATGGAGGCCAGGGAGGGGAAGTGCTATGCTATTTCTTGCTTCCAGGCATTTGCAAATGCTGTTTCCTCACAATACTTCCCTTTCGTATTTTTTTAAAGATTTTATTAATTTATTTTTAAACAGAGAGGGAGGGAGAGAGAAAGGGAGAGAAACATCAATGTGTGGTTGCCTCTCACACGCCCCACACTGGGGAACCTGGCCTGCAACCCAGGCCTGTGCCCTGCCTGGGAATCGAACCAGTGATCCTTTCGTTTGCAGTCTGTTGCTCAATCCCCTGAGCTACACCAGCCAGGGCCCTTTCCTACTCTTTAAGAAAAAAAAAGATTTATTAATTTTAGACGGGGGGAGGGAGGGAGAAAGAAACATCAATTTATTGCTCTACTTATTCATGCATTCATTGGTTGCATCTGGGACGTGCCCTGACCAGGGATCAAACCCACAGCCTTGGTGCATCAGGACTGTGCTCCAGTCAACTGAGCCACACGGCCAGGGCATCGCTTTCCCTACTCTTTGGACTAGTGCTTTCCAATGGAACTGTAACATGAGCCACAGGTGCGATTTAAAATTTTCCAATAGCCCTGGCTGGCGTAGCTCAGTGGATTGAGTGTGGGCTGTGAACCAAATTGTCGTAGGTTCGATTCCCAGTCAGGGCACATGCCTGGGTTGTAGGCCATGACCCCCAGCAACCACACATTGATGCTTCTCTCTCTCTCTCTATCTCCCTCCCTTCCCTCTCTAAAAATAAAAATAAATAAAATATTTAAAATTTTCCAATAGATAAAAAAAATAAAATAAAAATTTCCAGTAGCCACATTAAAAGGGGTAGAAAGAGGAACTGTGAAATTAATTTTCATAATACAGTTTATTCAACATAACATTTAAATTAGACCACTTCAATGAATATTTCACATAAAACTTGAGATTTTTTTTTACATTCTTTTTTACTGTACTTAATTCTTTGAAGTCCGGTACTGACAGCACAATCCAGACTACCCGTATTTCCCATGCGTAGTAGCCACAGTGGCCACCGTATTGGACAGCGGAGCTTTAGACTACTCGGCGCCTGCCCTTTGGGTCTCGGCTTATCCTTTTCCTCTTTCTGGAGCTGCCTCTTCCTGTCTTCCTTGACTTGTGACTGCGTCTGTCTCTCTCCATCGTTAGCACAGATTTCCACTGTGCTAACTGTGCCACTGTGCCGCTGTGCAGAGCTGCAGGTGGGGCCTGGGTGTCGTTTCATTGTTGAGTCTCCAGTATCGTATCTGCCAGGAGATACCAGACACGTGTCTGCTGAACGAATGAATGGCACGCAGTCACACAGTGACAACGCTGCAATAACAGGTGCTGTGTCTGGCCTCTCACCAGAAAGCTCTTTCCGTGGCTGCGGCCCCGTGAAGATCACTGGACAGGGAAGAGCCCAGCTCACGGTGGGTCCTGGCTGGACACCTGGATCCTGGGTCCATCTTGGCAGCAGCCACCTCTCACTGAGCACTGGGATTGGGCCAGGCACGGTGCTAAGGGTTCTGCGTACACTTTCATCTCTGCTCCCACGAGGGTGGGCTCTGCCGTTGTTAGGAGGTTCCATGGGTTGGAGCTAGTAAGAGTGATCACTGGGATTAGAACCAGCTCTTTCTGACTCTGAAGTTTGTATTTAAGTAAATGGCTCCATCGAAAGATAACTTCTTGTGAGTCCTTGGACGAGTCCCGCCCTCTCTCTAGGTTTTGCTTCCCCCAGCTGTAAAATGATTAGAGAGAGTAGATGGAAGAAGCTACAGGGGTCCATTAACTCCAGGCTCTTAGAGACTTTGGTAATGGCCTTTAAGACTGGTGTAGAACTGGCAGTTCTTGGGTCCACAGTGTATATTTACATATATTTGCATATATTTCTATATTTAGGCAAGAAAGCAAAAGTCATCATTACGGGAAACTATTTATTAGTGAAGTGACCACTAAAAAGTCAGTTCCCACCGTGGCTGGTGTGGCTCAGTGGATCTAATGCCGGCCTATGAATCAAAAGGTCACCGGTTCAATTCCCTGTCAGGGCACATGCCTGGGTTGGCAGCTGGGTCCCCATTTGGGGGCGAACAAGAGGCAACCACTTGATGTTTCTCTCACACATCACTGTTTCTCTCCTTCTCTTTCTCCCTCCCTTCTCCTCTCTCTGAAAATGAGTAGATAAAATTTTTTAAAAAGTCAGTTCCCTTCACCATTTCTCTTTACTAACACTGTTTTGTGGTCCTGACCCTTGAGTCAGGCACACGGGGCTCTGCCTTTTGCTGATGTGTGGGGGTGAGTGAGTGCAAATTCAGTTTCGTGTAGAAGGGTAGCTGAGAGAAGTTGCACACCTCACCGAAGACGTAGGATTTCATGCAATCAAAGCCACAGACAAGTTAGGGCCCGGCAGGCTCAGGCCGGAGAAAGGAAAAATCAACAAGCGTGAAGACAAAAGTGTTTTCTGAAACTAAAGTCTTCATAATTAGCAAAAGGACTCTTTGTGCCATGAAATCCAACATGAAGGAAAGGATATCGATTAGGCTGTCATGCCATTTTGAAAGAATTATGCGTGCTGCTTTATTAAAAAAAAGGCAGCGTGTAGTCAGAAACTAATGGTCAAATATGGGAAGCTTTGCAAATGTCCATTTCCCTTTTTACAATACAGTCAAAAGCAAGTTTTTTTTTAATCTACAGTTTATGCTGAAATTCTGTCCCATGCTTTTTTTTTTTAAGTGGATGACCTTTATCCTGCTACTGATTTTCTCAGCTAACAAGATGGCCTGGCTGGCAGGTGGCCCCCTCTAAACCAAGGAGGGGGGACTGGAGGCCAGGGCCTCGTGAGGATGGTCACCCAGCACTCTAGCTCCATTTCCTCTGCACAGGCTGTGACGGACATGAATGGGAAGGAGGTGAGTGGGCGGCTGCTCTTCGTGAGCCGGGCCCAGAAGCGGGCGGAGCGGCAGAACGAGCTTAAGCAAAGGTTCGAGCAGATGAAGCAGGACCGGCTGAACCGTTACCAGGTGAGGGCGAGCCTCCTGGAGGCGGCCGCGTCTGTGTGTGGAGGGCCCTGAACGTGACTCCCTCCTCTAGCAATCCCACTCCTGGGAACTTGGCTTTAGGGATGGTGGGGGCTCCAGCTTCCAGGTGATGGGTGTGCTACATGACTGGTGGGGTGCCTGGGTGCTGTGCCAGACTGGGGACAGGAGGCTTGGTGGCCAGGGCTTCCACTGCCTGCAGCACCCCACCCTCCCCCCTGCAAGGCAATCAGGAGCTGGGAGCGGAAGGCGTATCTAGCAGTGTCCTTCCCTTCCAGGGCGTGAACCTGTACGTGAAGAACCTGGATGACTCCATCGATAATGAGAAACTGAGGAAAGAGTTCTCTCCCTACGGAGTGATCACCAGTGCCAAGGTGAGGGCCGTGGGCGCCTACCGGGGGCAGAGTCTCCCCCTCACATCCTCTCACTGCCCACACCCTCCCCCCCCCTCCCATGGTGCCCAGGGAGTCGGTGCTGAGCTGCACATTGTGGGTTTGGGGGCTGTGTCTGATGCTGCTGGAGCTTGCTGTCCATCTGCAGCCTTGTCTGGGCTGGAGGGGAAGACGGTAGGAGCACAGTGGGTCTTACTGGGGCTCACCATGACCTTGGTTCATTCACCAAGCATTTCTTGAGTGCCTACTGTATGCCAGATTCCAGAAATTCATGTCTGAGCCTTTCTGTTGACTTCAGTTGTCCGGCCATGGCCGGTGTCGTACCTCTCCTCCCTGGGCCTCGATTTCTCCGTCTGAAAAATGAGAGGGGTGGACTATACCATTTTTTATTTATTCTTCCCCATCTATGAAGCCCTCTTAGCACTGGAGGTGTGCCGATGGGCTGTTTGACTCAGTAGCTCCGTGACCTTGAGCAGATCTTCTGAGCCTCATCTTCCAGATGAGGGAGTTGAACTCGCTGGTCGGTTCTCAACTCGGACTTCTTGCTAAAATCCCCTAGGGAGCTCTTAAATGCAGACGCCTGAGTCAGAAATTGAGTGTAGCTCTGCGAGGGTAAGGACTGGGCATTTTATTTTTAAAAGCAGCCATCTTTATTTTAAGATGGCCCAGTGTTCATTCATTTCATAGTTAAGCACCTGCTGTTTTACCAGGCCCTGTGGGAAGAAACGAACCCTTGTCCTTGAGTAGCGTGTAGTGTAGTGGGGAAGTCAGATGCATCACCAACTGAAATCTGTCATAAGGCAAGTATTGGAGGCAGAGCTGTGGTAGCTCAGTGGAACAGAAGGGAGGGCTTCTTGTAAGAAGTGGCAGTGGCAGCAGGATTTGACTTGGCTGTGAGGAGGTAGGGAGCTGCACATGGGAATGAGGAACTTTCCAAAGAGATCCGTGTGGATAATGGGCTGGGACCTGCACATGTATTGTGATGGCTGTGGTCTTAGGAAGTGGCATAGAAGTTCTTTTGCATGTTAAATCCTACTTTAAATGTCCTTTATGGGTCCTAGTATTTGGGAAAGAGGTTTGAACAGTTTTTGAGTTAAGGAGCTTTTGAAAAAAAAAAAAGTGACAGAAAGCTGTGGGGCATGTAAATTAGGCAACAGGAAATTTGATTTCACACCAGAAGAAGTTGTGGGCCCTCTTTTCCGGCAAGCGCACATGTGGTGCAGTATTGTGGTCAAAAGCTGGGATGTTCAAGCTAATCAGAACTAGGTCTAAATCCCAGTCCTACCGTTAACTAGGTGTGGAACCTCAGGGAAGGGGCTGTGCCTTCCGGACTCTGTTTGCCTGTCTGTAAAATGGGGGCAACGGTCTCTGTCTCTAGAGGTTTCCTGAGAGCTGAAGAACCTGCATATAGAGCGCCTGCCCGCAAAAAGCAGTGATGTCATGATCTAATTATTTATACACGTTGCGTATAATTTCAGGAGATTCGCCCACCTCCTTGAGGACTCCTTGAATGAAGGGAATTGTAAAACTCTGGATTTTTAGGTTAGAGTTGAGGCACACCTGTTTTGTTCATTGATTTTATATGTTTATATATTTTTATAGAATTTAATATCTTTACTCATAAAACAGTGATTAGGAAAATCAAATGAGTTAATGTATATGAAGTATTTTCGTTAAGCATTACTATTAAGTTCATAGTAAGCTTTGAGTAAGTGTTAGTTGTACTAATTATTATTATTATTTTTTACTATCTAACATATGTTCTTATTAACTTGTTAGGACAATATTTTTGTGCCAAGAAAATCTGGCTGTCTGATGAAGCCTATGGACCCCTTTGGAGAATAGTTTTAAAAGCATAAAGGAAAATTCATAGGATTATAATCAACAGTTATACTGAAAGAATGATCAAAATACCAAGGTGATAGCAGTATGTGCTTCTTTATTTATTTTTATTTATTTTGTATTTTACTGTTCATCCTCACCCGAGGACATGCTTGTAGATTTTAGTGAGGGGGAAGGGCGGGAGAGAGAGGGAGAGAAACGTTGATTCCAGAGAGAAACACCGATCCGTTGCCCCTTGTACGCACCTCAACCAGGATGGAGCCCACCACCCAGGCATGTGCCCTGACCAGGCACCGAACCCGAGACCTTTCGGTTTGCGGGACAATGCCCAGCCAACTGAGCCACACCGGCCAGGGCTGTGCTTCTGCATTAGTGCATCAAACTGTAAGATCCAGGGAAGTAGCAACTAGCATAAAAGATATTTTGAGATCAGCAATAATGACTGTGTTATGAAAAGATTTTCTCTTCCTGTCAAAATCACAAGCACAGCTAATACTGCTATGGTGTTTTTTGTTGCCCGCATTCAGAATAGAGGGGAATGCTAATATGAAAACACAGATGCCATTTTTTTCCCATCTGCGTTTACAGGCCCCACGAATTCCCTGCATGGGCCTCCCTGTGGGTCTGTGAACTCTCAGGGTAAGGCCTCTGTACCAGCAGGTGGCAAAGTGCAGTCGGAAAATCACTGATGCGGAGCCCGGGCTCCAAGGGAGGAGATTTAAAAACGATCTCGGCTCCATTGCTCAGGGTGTGGGTGAGCCTGGCCAGTTTCTTGACCCTAAAGAAGATGAAGAACCCTAAATAAAACGTGGACTGGATCCTGGAAGAGGAAAGGAACACCAGCAGTAAAACTGGTGAAGTCCAAAGGAAAGGCACAGTTTAGCTGACAGCATTGTGCCCGTGTTACCGTGCTGGTTTGGACACACATCCCGTGGTAACGTTGAGGGAGAGCTGGGTGAATGGTATACAGCAACTGTGTACTATTTTTGAGACTTTTCTGTGGACCTAAAGTTACTCCAAGATAAAAATATTGTTTTAATGAAAAGTTTAAGAGCCTTTTCCCCAGACTCCGAAAGACTTGACTCAGGGCCATGTGGAGGCAACAGGGAGTTCCCCAGGTTGTGCCTTGGGCTGGAGTCCTGGCTGATGCACCATCCGCCGGCTGGGTGACCCCGGGCAAGTCACTGTTTAAAAAATGGTACAAAGAACTTTTCTCTCTCTCTTTCTTTTTCTTTCTTTCTTTCTTTCTTTCTTTCTTTCTTTCTTTCTTTCTTTCTTTCTTTCTTTCTTTCTTTCTTTCTTTCTTTCTTTCTTTCTTTCTTTTCTTTCTTTCTTTCTTTCTTTCTCTCGCTCTCTTTCTTTCTTTCTTTCATTTTATTTATTTATTTTTAGAGAGAGGGAAGGGAGAGAGGGAGAGAAACATCAGTGTGTGGTTGCCTCTCATGCGCCCCCTACTGGGGATCTGGCCCAAGGCATGTGCCCTCACTGAGAGTCAAACCAGTGACCCTTTGGTTTACAGGCCGGTGCTCAATCCACTGCACCACGCCAGCCAGGGCAGAACTTTTATTTCTAGTAAAAAGAAAATGAACAGATCAAAGCACCAACAATAGAAATTCAAATTATTTCATACTCCCTACAAATCGAACTCTTTATTGGAGTCTCCAGGAAAGGCAGCTGTCGGGAGCACCTTTCTCAGGTTCCTCGTTCACAGGTGAAGCGGAGGATTGTGCGAGTAGTCTAGCAAAACCCGAGAGGTGGTCGGAATGCAGACGGTTTCCATCACGGTGACCTCACCTGGAACGGTTAAGACTGTGGCCCTGGCTGAACAGCCTGCCCTGGTCTTAGATTTCTAACCCTAGACGACACCTCACCTCATGAAAGCCCCCTCAGTGACAGTGTCCCTTTGCGGCCTGAGAGATCTTTTCAGAGAGAAAATCGAGAGATAAAAACACGGTCTGAAATGCAGCTGTTCTCCAACTCCGGGGAGCAGCAGCCTGTGAAACCCGAGCAGCCCTCTGGTGGCCAGGGGCCTGGTCTCCGGCCTGTCACTCTGGATCCCCAGGCTCCTCCCCTTTCAAGAGGGAGTTGCAGCAACATGAGGAGTGTATCTGGCATCTGGCATGCGGCGGCCCTCAGTGAATGCGGGGGTGCCAGTACACCCCTGATGGCACGTTTCTCCTGGGCCCGCCCCGGGCCAGGATGGGCCCCCGGGGGAGGTGGAGGAACAGGCCTCAGGAGTGTTCCTTCACCTTCCCAGCAGCCCTTGTCTTGTCTTGCTTTTAGGTGATGACAGAGGGTGGCCACAGCAAAGGGTTTGGCTTTGTGTGTTTTTCCTCTCCAGAAGAGGCAACGAAGGCCGTGACCGAGATGAACGGGCGCATCCTCGGCACCAAGCCGCTGTACGTGGCGCTGGCCCAGCGCAAAGAGGAGCGGAAGGCCGTCTTGACCAACCAGTGCATGCAGCAGCGCCTCTGCGCGCAGGCCCTGGGCGGCCCCCTCCTGGGCTCCTTCCAGCAGCCCACCAGCTACTTCCTGCCCACCGTGCCCCAGGTGAGGGCCTGCCTGCGGCCCCAGGTGGAGCGGGAAGAGAGCTCACGGGGAGACATAGGTTCCCAACCTGCCTCTGCCAGAGACAGCAGGTCATTTGAACCCCACCTCTAACGGGGCTAACAGTGTCGCTGTCAAACAGCGCTTCCCAAAAGGAGAGAGGGATTTGTGAATGTTATGCAGAAAAGGATTCTTTGGGCAAACTTAAGGTTGGGAAGTATTACAGTAAACAAAGGAAGCCCAGGCTTCTTCCCCACCTACGTTGTTCCACTCTGTGCCTGCAGACAGTCTGACTTTGCCAAACCAGCAGAGAGTAGGTCGTGCTCCCCCAGTTTAAATGGTCGTTTTTGCGGAGTACTAACACCGCAGAGGGGCATGGTTTGGGAAAGGAGGTCTCGTGACCCAGAGGAAGTACAAAGGTGTTAGCCATTAAAGGCTACTAGACTGGGACATTCCTTCTTCTTTCAGCAATTGCCTAAGGAGGCGTAAGTTTTGGTGGGACCTGTCGCAGTTTTATCCAAATTATTGGGTTAGTTGCTCCAATAATAAGGGGCAAGGGTTGGACCTGAGATCTCACCCTTCAAGGCTGAGGGGTAATGGACATCCCAAAACGGGAAGCAGGCCGTCCTCCTGGCTTTGTGGGTCTTTCCCAGCCAGTCCGTTGCGGGGCCGGTGGAGCCCCTGCGGTGGTGTCCCCGAGGGGATGCGGTTTCTAACTTCCCCTGCCGCAGCCCCTCACTCTGGGCCGTCTTCTCCCACACAGCCTCCAGCCCAGGCTGTGTACTATGGCTCTGGCCCCCCTGGCCCCCCTGTCCAGCCTGCCCCCAGGTGGATGGCCCAGCCTCCTAGATCCTCCCGTGAGTGACGCCGCCCCTTCCACCCACCAGTGTGGGCCCTGGGGGGTGGTGTGCAACATAGTGGTTGAAAGGTCACGAGCTTCGGGGTCAAGCCTGGCTCTCTGTCACTTCCTAAGGTGTTAATCAGGGTGGGTAACTTCGTCTCCGAGCCTCAGTTTCTCCTTCTGAGTGTGGGCCTGAATGAGACACGCGGAAGCACCAAGCACAGTGCTGACCTGTGAAAGGCTCACTTACCTTCAGTCAGCGCCAAAGATCTGTCTGATCGGTGGCTGAGAATCCTTGCAAAGCTGAGAAAATGAACTCCTTTCGCTGTGTTGCTGATGAATGATGGTTTGTCTCTAAGAGCGAAGTCCCCCCGACTTGAAACTGTCGGGGGGAGGGGACGAAGGTGTGTGATCGTGACACCTGTGCATCTTGGGGCTTCGGGGAGACGCGAGTCGGTTTGTAATCGCAAATTTCCACGCCCCCCTCCCTGGAGTTGTGGTTCTGCCCGAGGAGGTGCATCCACTCATCTTTCCGCTGGGAATGTTCCAGCTCCCCTTCCGCACCCTGGCCCCGTCAGGGTGTGGTGTGCCACTCTGATTAACACGCCCCCTTCCCCCCAACCTTTCCCTGTCCGTGTTCTCTGTACCGCAGCCACCTACCCTCCAGCCGCCTCAATGGGCCAGCCGCCAGCCACGTCTCCGTGCCCCCTGGCCCCCATCAGCAGCGTCAGGAAGGGCCCCCCCCAGATGCCACAGCAGGTGGCCCTCACCCAAAGAGTGGGTGAGTGTTGGCAGGGCCGGGAGGAGTGGGTGTGCAAGGGTGCTGGGTTGGCGGTATTGGGGAGTCAGAACTGGTTTCCACAGTGAGCCTGCCATTCACCCTCCTAGAGGGCAGGCCTGGTGAGACGGGGAGGGAGAGAGGGGGAGAAACACTGATGTGAGAGAAACATGGATCAGTTGCCTCTCTAATGAGCCCCGACCAGGGACTGAACCTGCAACCCAGGCATGTGCCCTGATTGGGACTCGAACCTATGACCTTTCGTTCTGCGGGACGACACCCAACCAACTACACCATGCCGGCCAGGGCCGAATTGGCTCATCTTTAAATTGGGGATGAGAACAATTTTCCCCGTTTTGTTGCGTGGGTGGGTGAATGGGATCGCACATGCAGGGACTTGGTTAGCGCCAGGTCTGAACTCAGTACTCACAGCAGCAGCTGCGACCGAGCGAGTAGATGGAGCCTGAAGGCAAGCACGTGTGGCGGGTGTTGGCGCCTCTGTGTGTGCTGGCCCTGCACTCGGTGCTGGGGTTCTGCGTGAATGCTCATCTTCAGGCTCCACGGCTTCAGGTGGGTGCCCGGCCCTAACATCCCTGCTCGTTCCTTCCAGCCAACATCGGTACCCAGACCACCGGGCCCAGCGAGGCAGGACACTCTACGCCAAGGAGGCCTCTCCCGACACACAGATGCTCCAGCACCCATGGGGTGAGGCCGGCCCAGCTGCCCTCTCAGTCCAGGGTCCCGGGGGCCTGCCTAGAACCTTGGCTAATGCATTGGTCCTTCCTGGGCCTTGGTTTCTTCCTTTTCTTGGCTTGTAAAGTTTCATTTATTAACATGTGCAGTTCAGAAGAGATCACTCCCTTACTAACAGGAGGAGGAAAAGGGCCAGGGTTACGTTTTGATTATTAGTCACAGTTTGGATTGTCTCAGCATTTATGTGTTGAGAAGCAGAGCCGTGATTAATCTGCACAACAGAACTGAAAATGCCTACTGTCATTAAGTTTAAAGGCTGAGTATTTTTCTCCCTGCTACCCCCCAAAAGTCTCAACCTCAGCAATTTCATCTCCCGTCTAGAATGTCAGTATGTATACTTGGAACAATCTCTTGTGGAAGGACCAAGAGTAGTCTTTAAACAGCAAAATGCTTTTAAAGTTATCAAGATGTGAAAGGGTCAGAAGTATGTTGGGAGCAGGGCCATAAAAGCTCCTTAATCAAAAGTGCTTTGTCTGGCACGAAGGGATTCCTAAGGTGTGTCTTCGCTGGGCAGCGTGCATCGGGGGCCTTTAGTGGTTCTAGCGCTGTGGAAACACCCGTGTTGGAGTGGACCTTCGTTGTCTAGTCTGCTGTGCCCTTGCTGGGGACTCTGTCCTACCTGATGGTCCTTACCTTGTCCCCTGCTCCCCTCTTCCAGAGCCTTCCTGGAGGCCTGTGCTCACCTGGCGGGGTCAAGTGTCTCCAGGCCTTGCCTGTCCGTGGTGGTGAGGGGCTGTGTCCCTGGCACTGTGCGCAGGTCCCGGAGCCTGCTGCGGGCCTCCCCGGACGGGAGCCCCTGACTGCGTCCATGCTGGCCAAGGCGCCACTCCGCAAACAAAAGCAGATGATTGGTGAGTGGCTGGTTCCCCTGCTCTGGAGCAGGAGGAGGGGGGCTGGGAGCTGGCTAGCCTGGTGGGAAACACCCTGAGTGGGGGTCAGACGTGAGGACAGGGTCCAGCTTTGCCGCTGACCAGCCTGCTGGGTGACCTTGCCCGAGCTGTCTTGTCATCCAGGCCCCATTCTCTCATCTTAAAATACTGGTCAGACCAGATGTGCCCAGGATTTCTTCAGCTCTGCTGTTCTTGACTTGATGTAGGCTGGGAGAGACCCCAGATGTGGGGAGGTCGGGGGCCAGGAGGAGGAGTAAGAGTATGGAGGGTGTGGTCTCGGGTTTCTGCTGAGACGTGGCCCATAAGGGGCGGCTCCTCGCACCTCGCCTGCATGGGGAGCAGCTCTCACCACATTGCAGCAGCCACCCAGAGGAGCCCGCTGCAGGGGGAGGACATAAGTGTGCATCGGAAAAACGGGTGCCGCTCCCCACTGGACCCTGAGTTCCCGTGCAGTTCCTCCTGTGTCTGGGACAGGCCCTGTGCGAGGGGGCCGCCAACTGTTAGTGAACGAACGAGCAAGCCTGCTGGTGGTGGGCAGGTTCCTTTCTTCCAGGCCATTGAGATCTCCTGGTCCTTCTCTGTAGCTCCCCGCTCTACTGCTCCTCAGCAAATAGCAACGCTGCTATTGCGTTGTTTCCTCAGCAAACAGGGGTCCTCCCTCTTCACTCCTGCACCTCAAAGGAAAATGCTCAGTGTGCTTCATGGAGGTGGAAGGCTCCGCAAGCCGTGCCTTGAAAACATCTGCACTCTCCTCCTGGGGAGAGCTCTCCTCCTTAGGGCACCCAGCAGCGCAGCCTGGCTGGACCCTCCACACATGGCCGGGACGGGCTAGCCGCCGACCCCGGGCCCTTCCCCAGAAGTACCTGGTGGTGGAAAGTGAATTTATCTTGTGTATTTGGCTTGCCATAAGGTCAAGTTCAGCATTATCATATCCTGTCTAGAATCTGTGTGTGTACTTAGAACTATTTCCTGCAGAATAAGCAAGCACCCTGTGCAACTGGTTCACATCTGGTGTCAAACACGACCCTGTAGACTAACCTCCAGAGCGGGGTTTTCATGCCCTCTTCACAGTTGGGGAAGAGGCTTCTGGTCACCAGGTTAAGTGACACAGCGGTACTGTGACGGCCACCCAGACGCCTCACTGCTCCGTTCCACAATAGCCCCTGGGATGCTGGGGTACCAGCCAGGGGTGCGTTCATAAGCCAGCAGGGGCTGTTCCGTACAGGTGAGCATCTCCACCCACTTATCTACGATGTCCACACCCAGCTGGCTGGCAGGATCACGGGCATGCTGCTGGAGATCGACGACTCGGAGCTGCTGCTCATGCTGGAGTCCCCGGAGCCCCTCAGTGCCAAGGTGGGCTGGGGCCTGGCTGGCAGGGGGGCCTGAGGGCAGGAGGAGAGCTCAGGGCCAGGGCGTCTCCTGGATGAGCAAGCAAACTGTCGCTTGGACGGATGAGGGTTATCGTCTCGCTAATACCTGCAGAACGCTGGAGTGGGACAGATGATTCTCTGCAGCTCCACAGGCAAGGTGTTGGCACAAGGAGCCGTGTCCTGCCTCAGTGCAAGGGTTGGGGTTTTCCTGGCTGTTCCGCAGTGAACATCTGTCTCGGGAGCTGGAAGCAGCAGTCAGAGGAGGGCGCTGCAGAAATGCTGTGGAGGGCGGGGAGGGGGACGGCTCTCCTGGGACCCGGCTGGGGCAGCGGCACTAAGCCCCTCCCACCGCCCCACAGGTGGAAGAGGCGATGGCGGTGCTGCAGGCTCACCAGGCCACCGAGTGGGCGAAAGTGAACGTGACTGAAACCAGGTGGGTGGCTGAGGGTGTGCGGACTGGTGAGAGTAGCAGCCGAGCCCAGAAACAGCGAAGAAGGAGGCAGGGACTTTCCCCAAGTCCCCAAGAGCCAGGTCGTGTCACTGCTTTCTCTGAGGTCCCAGGAACAAAGTTGGGGGAAGCGTGTGACTGGAGCAGGTGTTAACCATCAAGTACAGGGAAGGCGTTCTCTGCCAGCTGCCCGGCTGGGCCTCCCTGGGGCTCCCCCACTCCCTGCTGCCTGCCCGAAGGCCTGGCTTGGCCCGTCTCTGTTCCTAGCTGAGGACCAGGTGTCTGCCATACGTCAGAAACACTGATTGTACCCTTTCATCCCCAGAAAATGGAACTCTCACTCCCTTGGCTGACAAGACAACGGCGTTTTCTACTCCTGGCTCTGTGATCTGGAACTTAATTCCCAGTGGGGCTGCGTCTGTACCCAAGCTGTGTGTGTGTGTGTGTGTGTGTGTGGCGTGAAGGCTGGTCACCCGGCCAGCCATCACCTTTTTTGCTTTGTGCATTAAAGTGCTGCAAACTGCGGTTTGTCTCCCAGGAGGCCTTGTGTGAGGGAGGTGGGGCGGAGCGAAGGGCAGGCTTGGCTGGGTCGGGGCTTCGGCCGCAGGGAACAGAAACGCCACCACACGGAGGCCGAAGGTGAGGGTGCGGACCATGGCAGCACCGCCGGTGCGAGCCCCAGAGGAGCAGCTGTGACTCCCCAGTGGCGCAGTGAGGGCCTGAATGGTTGTCACCACCCCGAGCTGAGAAAGGAACTCAAGCCACAGACACCCACGCCTGGACGCCGGGCGGGAGCACCGCCAGCCAGGGCAGGCGAACGTGCAGGAGGCGGCCCTGCTCCCAGGCCCTGGGCCAGGGATGGTGTAACAAAGAACACGTGTGTGGACAGGAACCGCTCCAGGCTACCTTCCCAGGTCACGGTTTTCCTCCCCTGCGGGGAGGGGAAAGCCTCTTCAGGTTGTCCAGGCCTCGGCTTGTATTCATTACTAAATCAAGGTACTTGCTCTCTGGACCTCAAGAAGAGAGACAGCTGTGACTGAATGTCACCACTAAACCTGCCTCCAATCAGGTAAAAACATGCCTGCTTAGGAGGGGGCAGTAAGAGGGGACAGCCCCTTTGAGATGGTCACCTGGCCGTGGCGTTTGTGGACACAGCCTGCAGGTCTGCAGCTCAGGGGACCCCTTCCAAGGCCAGAAGCAGCGTGCTGGATGCCGTCCCGCACTGGGAGGGATGAGTCGCAAAGGGACAAGGAAAACGCTGCTCCCCTCAATGGAGCCACCAAACTGCTGATCCATTAAGAGGACGCAGCCCGGGAAAGGCAGGCAGCCCCCGGCTCTGGCTGGATGCTGAAGCACTCTGCGGCCTCGCCCGTGCCCGCCCGTACCGCGTCTTGTGAGCAAGGGGCATTTCCGGCCCCTGTCCTCCCCGCGAGGGCCTTTCCCTCCCCTCTTCCCCCAGCTACTCTCCCGTGTTGGACCTCAATTCAAGCTTACTTCCTGAGGCACCCCCTTCCCTCCAGGGGGTCAGATCTCCCCCGTTAGGTCAGGAAAGCACTGTGCGATGACTCCGTTAAAACACGTGAGTTGGTGACTGGCACTTGTTCTGGGGAATCATCTGACGTCCCGCTGTCCCATGCACTGTCAGCCCTCCGGGCGCAGGGACGGTGCCTTCATCCACTGCTCTTTCCCCAGCACGGCACGTCATGCCTGGCCCAAGCAGACTTTTCAGTGAATCTGTTCTATGAATAGATGAATGTTCAAAAAGAGGTAGCTTTTGTTACTGCAAAATTCCAGGCACTACGCTGAAAAAGCATGAATGAAAGTACACCACGTTTATGTAGAAGAAAGACGTTTAATGGAATCACTTAAACACACAGTTCAACAAAACCGGAGTCAGTCAGTTCAACGTAACCTCGGGGAACAAAGAACTACGAAACCTGGAGGGAGCCACAGTTGGGATCAAAAGGCAGGTCCCTGCCCAGAACAGAAGGACGCCGACCTCAAGGAGGCCTGTCTTCCCGCCCCGCCTTCAGAAGAGGTCACACGGCCAGGCCCCTGCAGCAGCGCAGGAGCCTCCACGCAGGAGGCAGCCCACAGCCCGTCAGAGCCACCCGAGAGTCGCGGCTCTGCGTCCCCACCAGAGCGGGTCCTGGCCAGAAGGGCCTGGAGCTCAGAGCCCAGGGCGCTATGCCAAGGACACGGCAGGATGGCAGCCCTGGAGAACCAGCTCAACAGGCTGCTTGAGGTGTGGGTGGGACAGGGTTTTCTGGTCCCGTGGGCACCCCCTACCCGCTCAGTTCGCACAGATGAACCACAGTGAGGTGAGGCTGGTGAGGTGAGTGAAAGGCAGCACTCAGCCCGGGGCATGCTTGGGGCGGGGACGGGGCCCGCGCTTTACTGAGGGCCTGTCTTCTGATCCGCTAGCTATCGGGGAAGGGGGAACGGAGAACACGGCTTCAGCACAGCGGGGGACCTTTCCAGGAAAACGACGTCTGGTTTTTGGCTACACTGACCTTCATTTGAACAAAACCTCTTAAGGGGAGGGAGGCCGTTACCTCTTCGAGGGGCAGAGGGCGGTGCTTCAGAGCGCACTCGGGGGCATGCCGGGGCCCAGGAGCAGGCACGGAGGGAGGTCGGCCAGCAGAGGTTCCTGCCGCCCCCTTGGGTGTTTAGTTTAAGCTCTGGTTGACCTCCTGCTGCAGCTTCTGGGCGGGGCCGTTCCTGGGCTCAATTTTCAGGAGGCTGTTGATGTCTGCGAAGCTGGACTTATAGTCCTAACGGGAGACAAGGGTGTGGGCATGGTGCCGTGACCGAGAGGAGACCCACTGGGGACAGCTGCCGAGATGGCAGAGGCTTTTCAAACCCCAGCTGCAGCCCACCCTGAGCTGCCCCCACCCCGGATGAGAGGCGTGTAACACGTGTCCGCAGCTGGTGCCTTCCGGTGGGGTCCGCTTACCTTGAGAGCCTTGTAGGCTTGAGCCCGCCTGTAAAAGGCTTTCACGTTCTTCCCGTCCAGCTTGAGGGCTTCGGTGCAGTCCTTCACCGCCTCCTTGTACTGCTTCAGGACGAGGTGGCACAGTGCTCTGCGGGGGGAGAGGCCAACCCAGGGGTTTCGGTCACTTCCGAGGGGCCACCCAGAGCCGTGGGGCAGTTTGAGGAGTGATCTCGGTTTCCTGAACACCTCCTCTGTGCAGCTTACTTTACACCTCCTCCAGTCCTCACAAGAACCCCAGCCCTTTTCACAGGCAAAAACGCCAGCTCGGGGTGGGGACGAGGCAGGGGGGACAGCGACGTGCTCACGGCGTGCCCACTGCTGCAGGGCAGACCCTGACCTCGCCGAGGCCAGCACTCTGCCCACCACCCCTACACTGTGCTCTTCCAAGCAATGAAATGGCCTTCTGAGACCTTCCCCTCGACAGACTAGAAAGTCACCTGCCTTAAGAACCTAACAAACATAAATACTGGACTTTAATCTGTGACATGTGTGCCAATGTGTTAGGGATGAGAGGTAAAGGTGTCTGCAACTCTGAAACACGTCACCAATGAGATGGGTCAACAGACAGCTAAATGGTGATAAAGTGAAAACATAACAGAATGTTAAGGATGAAGTTAAATGGTAGGTATGTGCATGCTCAATGAAAAATCTGTCAACTTTTATTTTGGAAATTTTCAAAATGCTGGGAAAAAAGTTTCAGAAGTAGACGCTGGCAAAAAAGCAAGTCATGCACAGCCATACAAGAGGCCACGCTGCATCTGTGGGGAGGAGAGTCTGCGTGAACCCTCCTCACCAGGGCTAGCCCTCCCCTCCCAAGACAGGCACTGAGACAGCCAGCCAGGTGTCCTGGAGCTCAGCATGGAAGTCCATCCATTCCACCTCACCGTTTTTGGGTTTGTTTTTAAAGATTTTATTCTTATACAGAGGGGGAGGGAGGGAGAAAAACAGGGAGAGAAACATCAATGTGCATTTGCCTCTTGTGCTGGCCCCTACTGGGGACTTGGCCTGCAACCCAGGCATGTGCCCTGACTGGGAATCGAACCAGTGATCCTTTGGTTCACAGGCCAGTGCTCAATCCACTGAGCCACACCAGGCAGGGCCACCTCACCATTTTGAATGGGGGCAGAGTAGTCGCCGGCTGGCTGCACCTGATTTACTTCTCAGTACAAAGCAGTCTGGGAGACAACAGGACTGAGCGAAGAGGCACTCAAGCTCGGAGTCACAAAGACCAGGCCACAGTCACAGCCCTACCATGTACGGGTTAACTGCTTACTCATCTTCCTGCACCTGTCTTCTCACAGGTGAAATGGAACCATGACCTAACCTGAAGAGCTGTTGTGAGGACTGAACGAGGCTCTGGAGGTCCATTCAGAACCTGGCGAGCTGTAGGTGCGGGGGACCTGAGTGGTGGTGTCCTCTGGGGTGTCCCGTGCACCCAGAGAACCACGGTGAGCCAGAGATGGCACACGGGTCCGCACAGACACTCACGCACGAGGTGGAGCGCCACAACAGCATCCAGCATGCGGGGGAACTTTGGCCTCAATGTTCTGTGTCAAGTTACCAGTCCTCCAAGTTAAATTTATAAAGTCAGTGTCATCACAACCAAAACCCAACAAGATACTTTTAGAAATTTGTCAAAATGATCCTAAGGTTTAGCTGGAAGAGCTAATCTAGGAAAATAGGCAGGGATACTGACTGAGCATGAGGAGAAGACCAGCCCTGTAGATATTATACAGACGAGTAATTCCCTGGCTGGTGTGGCTCAGTGGATTCAAACAGAGGGGTCACCGGTTCGATTCCCAGTCAGGGCACATGCCTAGGTTGTGGGCCGAGAAGTAACCCATCGATATTTCTCTTCCTCTCTCTCTTTCTCCCTTCCACTCTCTCTAAAATAAATAAATAAAGTATTTTTTAAAAAGTAATGAAAACAGTGTGGCACAGATACATTTTCATGAAAAACGATTTTCAAACAAATCGTCATCTCAAAACGTGGTAACTGTTGTGGAAAACGGGCTAGCGGAGGTCTCCAGAAAGCCGGGCCAACAAGGCCAGAGAGCCCGGCAACGGGGGGGGTCAGAGGACGGCGCTGCACGAACACGGGGCCAGCGGGCCGCAGCCTCTTTATCAGGCCAGCCTGGCGGACGGAGGCACCCTGGCCACTCAGCCAGTAAAGCCAGAGGTCCTACATTTAAGCTTTAAAACGGCAAGTTCTCTCTTTAACTCAGGCAGTGAACCCCAACCTGAACTGGCACGAGGCCAACCTCCTTTTATACCGTCCCACGTGGAAGTGTAACTTCCTTACGTTTCACAGCAGAAATGCTACCAGTTAGCTTCACAAGCTGCCCCAGACCCCGAATGTCACGTGACTCAGTGCACGGACCGCATCACCCCGAGAGACTCTGAAACGCAGGTCTGGCTAAGGCTCGGCCTGCAACAGACACAAGGTTTCTGAACTCAAGGGTAACAGGCGGTGCAGGTGCAGGCCCCAGTGCGGCGCCAGGGGCCTGGCCCCTTAGGCGAGACGTCACCTGTCCCCCGCTCCCGGGCTGGGCGGTAACTACCCCACACCCCACTTCTGCCCCGTGTTCTCAGCTCCAACACTTCCGGCAGGGAGGCCTCAGAGCAGCCGTGGGGTGGAAGCGGGGAAGGTGGGAAGCCTGCAAGACTTGCGCTGGGGTGCTGTCTGTGCAGCGAGACATCTGATGTGGGTGGTTAACGAGAATTCTGGGAGGGGGGCTGACAAAGCCCGGGCTTCCCTTTGGCACCCCTCAGTTTCTATCACTTTGAGAGAGAGGACGCCACTGGCAACGCCTGCCTCACGGTGAGCAAAATGGGTGTGACTGCACGTTCTGAGCGGTAACGCAGTGACGAAATGCCAGGGAAGAAGAGCCCGCCACAGGCCACGAGGAGATTATGGAACAGGATGGCCAATGTCTGGTATGCCCCGGCCAGCAGCTGGGGGGAAGGTACCTGTTGCTGTAGGTGGCAGATTCCAGGTTGCTGAATGAGAGGCTCTCACTGTACTTCTCAATAGCCTTCTTGTGGTTCCCCTTCTTTACCAGCTCGTTGCCTTCTTCCTTCAGAACTCGGGCTCTCTCCACATCCCCAGAGGAAGGCACTAGACACAGACACAGAAGCGGAAAAAGTCACGGAGTGGATGCCCAACTGAGGTCAGTGACATAGCCTCAGCGTCACCTCTTCTAGGCCCCACAGCCCTGGCCCCAGCGGTTTCCTGCGCTGTTGGAAAGCATCCTTCCCGACCCAGGATAACTTCGATCAACGGCTTCTGGGAAATTAAACACGGTTCTTCGTTCAGAAGAGGATGGGGACTCCTGGTGTAAACACATACACACAGAGTAACATGCACACGATAAAAAGCAACCCGGGTGCCAGCCCTGGCACTGCACGGGCAGCTGGAAGATCCCGTGTGGCCCACTGCTCCGCTGAGCCTCAGTTCCCTCAGCAACGGGCTGGAAATCCGAGACCACACACGGAGGAGCACAAGCCCTCTGAACTTAGAGCAGGAGAATAACTGTGTAAATAAACAAGCATCTGGTAAAGAGAGGGCCTCGCCCCCAGGCGTTCAGGAAAGGGAGATGAGCGCCATCCTCATGGCTGCTGCGGTCTGGGCCCTGCGCACCCCCCTCGCCCAGCACGCCCGCCCCAGCTTCCCAGGGGAAACGGGAGGAAGAGGAAGACGGGGAACCTGAGCCGCTAAGCCCGGCCTGCAGGCCCGAGTTAACCGTTCCAGCCCCAGCTCCCATGTCGCCTGCTTTTTTAATTTTTAAAAACTATAAAACACTAAATATTTATGACACGGGTAAGGTTTTAGGAGTAAAGCAACACCCTGGCGCTCATCCTCACCTGGGGGAACAGGACATTTCCAGGACCTCGGCAGCCCTGTGGGCCGTTCCCCAGATCAGTCCACCCCTGCGGGGGGCTGTTATCCTCGGTCCTGGGCACCCTCCCCCCTTTTTGTTTTTGGTGGTTTATTACACAGTAGTATCCATAAGCCATTTGTTTTTCACTTTACGGAAAGGGACAAATATTTCTATGTATTCCTCCATGACCTTGTTTTCGTTCTCCCCTCAAAGCTCCATTCCTGAGCTGGACCTGTGCTGATGCATTCGGTGGTTCGTCCAGTCTCACTGCCGCAAAGCAGTCGCTATGGAGACACGTCACTTCCGGTTTTGATTCTTGCTATTATAAACATTTTGCTGTGAACATTCCTGTACGTATCCCCTTATGCACATGTGCATGAGTTTCCCTAAAAGCAGAGCCAGCAGGATGCTATGTACACGCAGCTTTGCCCCTCCCCGCCCCAGAACGCGCACCATACTTGCCGTCACGCCTGCTCCCGCTGTCTGTCAGCAACACCCCGACACGCGCTGGCTCTCCACTGTCCCTGCCAGGGACTCCCGTCCCTCCTCCCTTTCCCACCTGAAGAGCTCACCCTGTAAGGCCCAGCTCAACCTACCATCTCCACTGTCACCTCCTCTGTGAGCCTTTCCTGACTCCCCCGCACACGTCAGTTCTGATTTTGGACTCCCCAAACACTTTACGGAAGCACTTGCTCTTACTCCGGCATCTTAAAACACTGCCTACGTGTCTCAGTCTCTCACGAGACCGAGGGCTTCCAGGGGCAAAGACCGCCCATCCATCCTGTCTCGGTGTTGCAGTGCTCAGCACAGGGCCTGCCGGGGCACCCAGGGCTCAGTGACTGCAACAGTGAAGTCAGTGGCAGGGGCACTGAAGCCATATAGTTCATCAGCACCCCCGTCTTCATTCTAGGGGAGAGTGGGGAACAGTTACCAGGCTCCCGCAAACCAGAGTGAGCACTACCTATGGCCAGGTAGGTTTCCTCCTGGGAAGGGTAGTAACTCCTGCCGGCCACGCCAGGCTCCAGCCCTGACCCTTCTGCACTGTCCGGCCTCAATGCCTAGCTTCCGAGCTGGGCGGCTCCCCTGGAGCAGTATCGGAAGGTCAGTGTGCCCCCACCCAAGGGGGCACAGGCGACCCAGGCAGATCACCTCCTGTGCAGGGCTACCCGCCTTTGACCTCCCTTCCCTTACTCTTCCTGCCCGGGGACTCGCACAGGGCTCATTTCCTGGGGAAGCACCACCACCGCCCGGCCGTGGAGGTCAGGGCTGAGCTAACCACAAAATCGCAGGCCTTGGCCTCAGGGACTAGTTCGGGGGATGGCCTGTGACCAAACAGGCCAGAATCAGTGAGAAAATAAGTGAGTTGGGGATTTGTGGAGAGGAGCTCTCAGAAAAAAAGTTTTCCCCTTCCCCTAGGTGATGAGGCATACGGATGGGTATACGGATGGGGGCCCGGAACCCCAATAGCTCTTTCACACTAAGAGGGGAGCCTGCGCAAAGACAGCCCTGAGCACCCCAGAGAAGGGAGCTGAGCGCGTACGGGGAAATGGGTCAGAGCCTGATGCTGCAAGGAGCTGGTGGGCAAACCCTGCCCAACCCTGAACTCTCGACTTCCCAATCGCATGAGCCGATAGCATCTCTTTCATTATTTTCACCATGGTGAGTCTTCTGACCTTGTAACCAAGGAGTCCAGTGTTATATATCCCAAGGGCTGCTGGAAAAGACGGGAACTAACACCGTACGGTTCTGTGCCAGGCTGGGAGTTCGACGCGCCTGAATGCCTGCAGTGGCGGGCGGAGGGTTTCCTCACAACCCTCGTTGTGGAGCTGAGACAGTCCCTGAGAGGTGGAGACTCTTTTTGTGTTAATCTTATCTTGATAACTCGGCTTAAACGAGGCTGATTTTGACAAGATTTGGCTACGGGGAAACTGTAAGCGGGAAGACACAGCTTACCTCTGCCCTTGGCAGCTGAGATCTGTTTGGATTTGCTTTTAGCCGTCTCTTTGTGATGCTCCGAAGACAAGGGATTCCACTTCTTCTGGATGGAAGCAGGCACCAAGGGCACGGAAGGCACCTTCAGGCGCCAGTCAGGCCCCATCGAGTCCATGAGAGCTTTGGTCATTCTGGAAACAAAGGCAGGATTACAGGGAGGTCTCTGGTGGGGTCAAGATGACGTGTCTCCTCTCATAACCCCGAGGGGAGTGTGTAAGAGACGGCTGATCATCTTCCCCCAGTTTGAACCATCTCTTTCAATCCGCCTGACACGCAGCAGGAAAAGAGCGGGAGTCTGCCACCCACGAAAGTCTTCTCCGTTCAGCCCCGGGACGCTCCCCCTGGCCTGGCCCTCACTGGTCACGCTGCGTCAGCTTCAGAGCGGAGAGCTACTGCTTGTTGCGAGTACTCCCACCCACCTTCACCCCAAAGGACCACGCAGTCCCTAGAAGAGGACTGTGTGTCTCATCTTTTCTTTTCTTTTTTTTTATTGGTTTTTAGAAAGTAAGGAAAGGAGAAAGAAAAACACTGATTTGTTGTTTCATTTATTTATACATTAGTGGTTGATTCTTGCATGAGCCCTGACTGGGACTGAACCTACAACCTTGGTGTACAGGGATGATGCTCTTACTCAACTGCCTTGCCTGCTGGGGCCTGTGTGATACTTCTCAACGGATCTATTAGGAAGCCACGCAAGCACCTGGCATGTGATTAATGCTCAGAAATATATATATTTTAAATTTTATTTTAATAGTTGTTCAAGTACAGTTTTCTGTCCTTTATTCCCATCCCAGCTCACCCACCCTCAGAAATTTCTTTCTAAAAGCAAATCTCTCACGTCATTCTCACATTTTAAAACCCTTCAGTGGTTCCACTTCCCTAGGGCACGAGACTCGGCCCCTTCCCACCCGCCCCTCTTTATCAGGTGCCGCTTTCCCTCTTGCTCCTTCTGTGCAAGTCTCTGCACACTGCTGTCCTCCCCCTGGGAAAATCTCCCCCTCTTCCCAGTCCCCCTCCCCACCTTCTCAGCCCAGTGAACGTGCTGAAAACCATGTCCGACTGTCAACTGAACTCTACTGCCTAGCTCATCACCGCCTGGCGCCCACCAAGATCCAATACGCATGTGTGGAAGGAATGAGTCAGCAAAGCCAAGCGTACACTTTTCCTGCTTTTGCAGCCACGTTCCTACGACACTAGAATGCAAATGACACGACGACAAAATCTCGGTCTCTGACTAAACCCCCAGAGCTGTTTTTCTCATTGGCCCGGCCATTTCAAACCCCCACTCCCCCCACTCTACCCCCACCCTTCCTCCCCCCAAATACAGATGCACCTGCACGGGCACCCGACCCTTCCTATTTCTCACCACAAAAGAAGAGCTGGCAACGCCAACCCCCCACCTAGGCTCTGGACCCCATCTCCTCCTGCCTCTCTCAAGGACCACCCTCAGCCAGCTCTCCCCCTCCCACCCCGCCCCCACCGTATCCTCATTTCTCTCTGCTGGCTCCAACGGTGGCATCTGACCCTTCCCCCACTCGATTAAACCCTCCTGGAAGCCTGCGCCCCTGCAGCCACACTCCTCTGCCTCCTCGCAGCCCGCCCGGCCAGCCTTCTGGATCCCACTGCCACCTGGCCTCTGACCCTGCTAAACCCCCTGTCAGCATGACCAGTGACGTCATTCCAGAACCCTTTGTCTGCTTAAGCTCACTGCAACACGTGACCTGAGGGACAGCTCCATCCTTCTGGAAACACTCCTCCCCTCGTAAGACTAAACGCTTCAAGTTTCCTCCAGCCGCTCTGGCTGCTGTTCCTCCATAGGTCCCTGAGGTGCTGGAATTTCTTGGAGCCCCTCCTCCTTCCGCTACACACAGGTGCATGCTCTTTCCCCCCACAGCACCTCGATCGCCTGTGCTGACAACCCCCAAATCTGTACAACTGGCCTATACTTCTCTCCTTTGCTCCAAGCCGCGCACACACACAGGGCCCTTGTGAAGGGGGTGTGGTCCGATACACCGAGCCACACCCACAAACCACACCCCTGCAGCCCCAGGTCCGAGGTGTGCTGTGCCTCGGTCTGTCTTTCCCCACTCTAGTTAGCTCTTTGAGGCCAGTGGGGTCTGTGTCTCTCTTCTGCTTGTGCATTCCCACTGAACCTGGCACAGCACCCCAAACAGGGCTCAACAAATCCCTACTGTGTGAATGAATTTGAGCACCTAGGCGAAAACAAACAAAACAACTCAGTAATCCTGATCCCTTAAATGCCTACCAAATACGACAGCAAATTCTCCTTCCACGCTTTCCCCACAAGGTTATTAGGGTTTTTAAAAAAAGATTTTATTTATTTATTTTGAGAGAGGGGAAGGGAAGGAGAGAAATATCAATGTGTGGTTGCCTCTCGCGCGCGCGCCCTAGTGACAACCTGGCCTGCAACCCAGACATGCCCCCTGACTCGCAATGGAACCCTGGACCCTTTAGTTCACAGGTGGGCACTCGATCCACTGAGCTACACCAGCCAGGGCAAGGTCATTAGAAATTTCTAAGCTGATCCCAAAGGGATCCTGCCAGAAGGTATCAAAGTGACAATTCCAAGCCAATGACGAGGGCAAGGAGTGCCAGAGGGAAGGACCGCAGCGGCTCAGGCTCACCTGTTGACGCCTTCCAAGGCCGACAGCACGCTGCCGTCGACCTGCAGCACAGTCTTGTAGTCCACGTAGGCCAGGGCGTACTTCTCCAGAGCCTCGTAGGCCGACGCTCGCCGCAGCAAGGGCTTTATGCTGAAGGGCATTAAGGACAGGGCTCTAGGGGAGGAAGCAGAACTGTCATCTGGCTGCCAAGTCACCAGGGCTCTCCCCCAGCCCCATGCCCGCAGCTCCGTCCAGGCAGGCTCGCCTACAGCATTCCATGGCAGGGGGGTACTCGGGGGGTGCGGGGCATTTCTGGCACAGAGACACTACTAAAAATGTCACAACTTAGAACAGGGACTTCTCAACTCAGACTGAAGTGGAGAAGGGAAAGAGGGCAGAGAGCCACTAACACTGTAAAATCTGTGTGCGTGCGCGACACTTTGCATACTTGCAGTCCCCCCAAATCAAGAGCAAGTGCCTTGTAGCTTTTATGCTTCTGCTGCTTCCAGAGTTGGGGCCCAGTGGGAGGACCATCGAGGCTGTGGACGCAGATGGAGCGGTGTCTGAATTCCGCCTGTACCACTGACCAAGTGGTCCCACTGTACCCCCTTGGTCCTCTGCAGCCCGGTTCCAGCCTGGGAAGGACGGTCAACTTAGCCCACAGCGTGGCCACGAACAGTCTAAGGACACCTAGCACTGGGCCTGGTACTGGTCGACTTAGCTCAGACCGCACGAGCGTGCTCACCTCTCTGCCACCTAGCGCTAGGGCGTGACTCCAAGGCAACGGATACCAGGTCTAAGAGCACCTTAGGTATGCACGGTAATTTAGCAACGATGAAAGAAGGCAGTATCAGACTTGCTTGAAGAAGAAAGAAGTATGGAAAACTGTCTAATGCCCTCTGCACCTGGGCACTGATGTGCACCGTCTCCTCCCATCTCCTTGCTTCTTTCCCAGCTGTTAATCTCTCTCTTGCTCTCTCTCCCCTTCCTCTCTCACCTGCATCCAGCCCAGAAAAAGCCTGGGCCAGCCACTCCCTGGCCTGTAACCCTACCTCACCCCCACGTCCGTACTCTCACAGACTGCAAGGCCACCAGAAGTGCCCTCCCTCCTCCTTTTATAGCAGTAGAGCTAAGACTCCAAAGACACAAGACATGGACTCCAAAGACCAAGTACAAAGTACAGCCTCCTATTCTCAGTGACCTGGTGACACTCAGTGACACTTCCCAGTATCCATCACAGACGTAACTGGTGGGATCACTCCAAAGAGGGAGTAGGCCAGGTGGACCCAGCTTCCTCGCCCGAGCCCCTCGGGCGCCCCCGAGGTCCCCTCGACCCTTACGCAGTGCAGTCTTTGATGCAGTCCCTGCAGTTCCCATCCTTCAGGTGGCATGCCGCTCGGTTGGAGTAGAGAACACTCTCTTCCTTAGGGTCCGATGCACCTGCCCAGGTGGAAGCAGAGGGTGTGAGGCCGGCAGGGGGGGAAGTGGATGCCTGGGGCTGTGAAGTGCACCGAGCTCTCTGGGCTTTGGTAAAAGGGAGCAGAAGTGACCGTGACTTGATCGGCTTGCCGGTCTGGTAGGCTGGCATTTGCCGTGAGCACACGGGAGCGAGAACACCAAGCGTCTTACTCACTCACGCCGGCACTAAACTCGGTACCAGGCAAAAGAGAAACATGAAACAGGTGGCTTCAGCCCCAAAGAAGCCCATGCTGTAACTACTGGGGAGGAGGAACGGGGGTGTTAATTCTATTACAAAAAGCATGTAAATCAAACAAACAAACAAAAAAAGGAAAAGATAAAAAAGACTAATTCTACCAGTCCAATCAGACAGGACTTTGCCAGGAAAAGGTGCCCTGGGCCTGGCAGGACTACAGAGGACTTACGGGGGAGGACTCAAGCTCCCCCACGGGGAGGATCATTCAGGCATTTCTCTAAAAGCAGTCCTCGCCCTCGGGGAGCTCAATAGAGCTCACGTCCTCTATTGTGGCCACGATGATTTTCATTTTTTGTTTCTTTCTCTCTTTTTAAAATTTTCATAGAGGACACTTTTTCATTGCTTTTAGAGAGGGAGGAAAAGAAACATGGATGCGAGAGATATGCATCGATCAGCTGCCTCCTACACGTCCTGAACCAAGAATCGAACGTGCAACCCTTCGGTTATGGGATGACACTCGGACCCAATGAGCCACGCCAGCCAGGGCAATGCTTTTCATTTCTAAAAATAATGTTTCAACTACTGCACACCCATGAACATGGGCCATAGTTTTGAAAAAAGAAAAGGAAAGTACTATGTGTTGACCCAGTAATTCCATTCCTAGACATATACCCCGAATAACGGAAAACCAGTTCTCTTGGGAAAACTGTGAAACATACAGAAGACGGTACAGCAGATACTCAGCATCCGTCCGTCACTAGACTCGGCATACATTACATTTGCTTCCAGCCTTTTTCTTTTTTTTTTTAAGATTTTATTTATTTATTTTTAGAGAGGGAAGGGAGGGAGATAGAGAAAGAGAGAGAGAAACATCAATGTGCAGTTGTTGGGGGTCATGGCCTGCAACCCAGGCATGTGCCCTGACTGGGAATCGAACCTGTGACACTTTGGTTCGCAGCCCGAGCTCAATCCACTGAGCTACGCCAGCCAGGGCTAGCCTTTCATTTTCCATATGGCTGAAGCTCCACTCATCCCCACCCCTCCCCCTCTGCTCAGTCCCCAGAGCCCCGCGTCAGCACAACCCTGAAGCCAGCACAATCCTGAAGTGGGTGTGGAACCTTCTCACCCCTGCTCGTCTATCTTTATCATGTATGTCACCACAGGGGAGATACCATGTTATATCTTCTAAAGCTTTTCCGACAGTGGCACCCTATTGTCTACCCTTCTGCAACTTGCTCTTTCTACTAAACATCATGCTACCACAGGGATGCGTATCTTTCACTCAATACCAACAATAACAATACAATGTAACTTTTTCTTCTTATTTTGTCCGACCCTGAACGACACAGTGCTGTACAGAGTCAAGTAAAATTTATCCTTGCCCTTAAGGAACAAGTACAAGCCAGAAAACTTGTAATCTATCGCGGGTCCCCAGAGCACAGGGGCTGGGGAGCAGCAGTGCCGCGGTGGCAAGGACATGGGAACCTACAAACCAGCCTGTGTCGCTACGCCAGTTGCCGACCCCTCTGCCCCTGTGCGCTCACGAGCCACAGAGACACCCCTGCACAGACTGGCTACGAGGGCTCATGCGTCAGGCTGCTCCCTGCTCTCCTTTCAAGGGAGAGCTGATCAGAGAAATCAAGGGCTGTGCCCACATATTCTTTAGAAAAGGACGAGAACCAAACTCCGGTCCTCTCCTAGATCTTCTTGAAACCAGGCCAGCTCTTCTAGGGACCTGGGGTAAGTTCATAAAAAGCACACACTTTTCCATGCAGGCTGGGGCAGGATGAAAGAAAAAAAACAGAAGTATCAGTATCTTAGATTCTTCAGCAACTTCAAGCGAGGCTGAGGGGAACAGGGGGACCTAAAAAGGAGTGTTCTAGAAAAAAAGAAGGGGGCAAGATGGCTGAAACTACAAAACTTCAACAACAACAACAAAAAGACTGCAATTTGGAGAAGATTTGGGGAGAAGTCTAGCAAAATGATTAAAAACTTGGACTTGGGAGTCAGACCCATATTCGAATCCAGCCTATGACATGCCTTCGTTGTATAACCCTGGGACAGGCGACTTAGTCACGGGTTAGTATGAAGCCACAAAGGGGTGATGTTTGTAACATCCAGCACACGGTAAAGCACTCTACAAACACTAGTCAAAAAAATGAGAAAGAGAAGGCAGGCAAAGGGGAATCGGTACGCTGCAAAAAAGGGTCCCAATGAGAGCTCCTTGGCAAGAGACCTTGGAAGAGGGTTTGGGCAAAGGGCTGTGGTTGGGCAAAATAAACCAGAGCCTGGGAGAACTAATAAGAATGTGCTTCCCCTGTTTAGAACTCTCCAGTAGCTTCCCATCAGGGAATAGAACCCAAACCCCTTGCCATGGCCTATCATGTAAAATGTCCACACAATAAGGTTCTGCCTGTCTAACTGACCTCATCTTTCTTCTCCCTCCCCTGGCTCAGGATGCTCTGGCTCCTGGAACGTAGCAAGCTTATTCCATCTGAGTGCCTTTGTACAGGCACATCTCAGAGTGATCGTGGGTTCGGTCCCACAGCTCTGCAATAAAGCAAGTAGTAATCTTTTTGCTGGGGGAGGGTCTTGTCTTCCATTTGTACAAAACACAACATCCGTGAAGCGCAACAAAGAGAAGCACGACAAAACGACGTTTGCCTCTACTTACAATTCCTTCCACCTGAAATGCTCGGCACCCAAAACTGTGTGCACCTGGCTTCTTCTCATCATTCAGCCATCACCTCAAATGTCACCTCTGCAAAGAAACGGTCCTTGACCTCCCCATTCTAATGGAGCTCCCTAGTGAACTCGCCATCACGTCATCCTTTGTGCCTTCTATGTGCCCCCAATCATTATCGTACAGATCTCGTTTACCAGCTTAAAATCCATCCCCTCCTTCCAAAACAACAATGTATGATTGTTGAGAGAGGGGACCTTCTACGCCTGGTTAGATACTCAGTACATAGATACTCAACAAATGTTAATTTCAATAAATGGCCAAGGAGAAAGGAAGGCTGAGCTATATATATCCTCAGGGATCAGAACGAGGCCTGAATAACAGGATGCTGGCTGACAGAAAGCAGGCAGCTCACACCCATCAGGATGGCCACTATCAAAGGAACAGAACACAACGGCGTACGTGCTGGTGAGGATGCTAAGTAGTGGAACTACTGTGCATTGTGGGTGGGAATGTAAAATGGCGCAGCAACTACGAAAACAGCATGGGGGGTCCCCCCAAGTTAAAAACTGAACCACCCTATGATCCAGCAATCCCACTTCTGGATATTTATCCAGACATTCAAAGCAGGATCTCGGAGACACCTGCACACCCATACCATCACAGCATTAGCTAGGAGGGAGACACAAATGCCTCTCAACGGATAAATGGATGAAAAACAATGGTATATCCATGCGATAAAATATACTGGTGCCTTAAAAAGAAGGAAATCCTGTCACATGCTACAACATGGATTAAAACATCCTCGAGGACATCATGCTAAGGGAAATAAGACAATCACAAAAGACAACAGCTGTATGATCTCACTCATTTCAAGTATCTAACGTAATCAAAAGCCTACGTACACAAGGTAGGAAGGTGGATACCAAGGGCTGAAGGGAGGGGAGAATTAGTGTTGAATGCATATTGAGTTTCAGCGTTGCAGGAAGAGAAAGTTCCAGAAATCCGTTGCACAATGTGAACAGCATATATTTGCCACTACACTTAAAAATGGTTAAGATGGTAAATTTAACGTTTTTTTACCACAACTAAAAAGAGATAAAACATCTATTAACATGGAAATGTTTCTGACATGTCATTAAGAGAAAAAGAACCAGTAATAAAAACATATTGCTTTTTTTTTTTTAAGGCGGGAAGAATGGAGCATGGAAGTTTCTCGTAGGATGCCCACCGCAGGGAATGGGCCGGAAGGGTGGTGGGAGCGCCCAAGCCAGGAGGCGGGGGTGGGGGTGTTGGGGGTGGGGGTGTTGAGGGTGGGGGGAGAGCTGGGGGGGGGGCGGGGGGCGGGGGGGGGGCGGTTGTAGGGGGACACAGTCGGCTCGCAGGGCAAGAAGGCCCCCCCAAAACAGGGACAGACAGAGCGAGGTCTGGGTAGTCGGGGTGGGGGGAGACGGGGGGAGAGAAGCAGCCCTGGCCGAGAAAAAAGGAGAGGGGGACGGGGGCAGGGTCGTACCTCGCTCCAGCATCAGCCTCAGCGCGAGGCTGTAGTACGTGGCGGCCTCGCAGAATTGGCCGTTGCGAAAGCTCACGTTGCCGGCGGTGCGGAGCTCCTCCACAGAGTTTGGGAGTTTGGGGGCCATCCTGGGGGTCCGGCCAGCAAATGGCGGCCGCCTCCGTTCGCGCCGAGTCTTACGGATCAGAGCCCGGGGATAAAGCCCAAGCGGAGAGGACTCGGCCCGACTGCTACGCTGGCCGGGGCGGGGGAGAGACGCAGAGGGCCGGGGGTGGGGCCTGCGTGCCTCGGGGGTCCGTCGTGCCTGGTCCTTGGCGCACGGCGCATGCCCGCTTTGGAGCTGACGTCGCCAAACGCGGTGTCTGGAGCTACGCAGACCTCCTTGAGTTGCTAAAACGTTATGGATGAAACAGGGAAAGAGGCCGGATCCCAGTTCACCTCGCGCTTACATTTAGTGGGAGCTGGCAGGCAAAGACCCCTGAGCACATAAAAAGGATAATCTCATGTTATTAGTGCCGTAAGAAAAGCAAAACACTAATGCTCTAGAAAGGGACCACGTGTAAACTGTTTTACATAAGGGGGTTGGGGAAGGCATCTCTAAGGGACTAATAATTGAGCTGAGACCTGAGAAGATGTAGGCAGAAGTATAGCAAGAGCAAAGGCACTGCCCTGAGGGGTGTGGCTCCGTTGGTTAGACGTGGTTCTGCAAAGCAAGAGGTTGCTGGTCCGATGCCCAATCAGGGCATGCGCCTGCGTTGCAGGTTTGGTCCCCAGTTAGGACACATAGGAGGGGCAATCAATGGATGTTTCTCTCTCACATTGAGTTTCTCTCCCCCTCTTTCTCCCTCCCTTCCCCTCTCTAAAAATAAATGAAATCTTTGAAAAATAAATACAAAGACCCTGAGGCTGTAAACCAGCACCTTGTGCTTTATAGATATTATGTATACATGATAGCTGAATGTACTGACAAGTTGATAAAGATCTTTCGCTGAGGGAAATCAACTTATCTTCAGCCTCATCTGACTTTAATGTTCCACTTAATACCCCATTTTTAAAAACTGCCTTTTGCTATTTGCATACATTATGCTTTTTCTCTTGCTTCCTAACCTTTGCCTCTTCTCCCCTCTCCTGGAATTTTTTCCCAAATACTTTTCTCTTGCCTTATCCTGACTCAACCTATAATCAAGTCAAATGTCTTCTCCCATGAGAGCTCCTCCAAGGAATGAATACTCCTGCCTCTGCTCCTATTGCTCCTGTGGTTTATCCCTAATTCAGCATTGATTACCGTGTGATTGTCAGTTTTTAGTTTTTCTCAAAGACTTTGAGGACTTTAAAGGAAGGAAGTGGGTCCGTATCTATGCCTGCCCAAGACTTAATGGACCTGGCACCCAATAGGCACTTAAGAAATTTGCTGACAAAGACCTGGTCTCTGCCTTCAGGAATCTAGTTAAAATTATTTGTTTAAACTCTTAACCCACCAGACTATAAACTTTCTGAGGGTTGGGTGACCATTCCATCTGAAGCCCATCAGCCCAGCTCAGGTCCCATAGAAAAGGAAAGAATGAACATTTAATATGGCAGGAGAACCAGATAAGACTCGCGGCCAATGTAGCACCAATATGGGGCATGGTAAAGGGGGGAACTTTGTTCACTGTGAAGTGCTCAATTGTGAAACAATTCAGTGGTTAAGCGGGCTGGGCTTGCCAGACATGAAAATGCTGCCTCCAGTGGAAACCAAAAAGTGAGCCCCGAGTAGACACAGGGGAAACTGGACTTACATTAAGAAGAGTGCCCACCCCCTGCTACCGATTGGCCCATTTCTATGCAAATAAGGACTCCAAATCCTCACAGTATGATTGGTCTAAATAGCACTATCTTAATTGGTCAAAATGGAGCCACTTTGATTGGTTGATAGGGATGCAAATGAGGATAGAGATGTGCGATTCCAATGGCCATGGAAAAATCTCAGTCCTATTGGTACAATTTAATCCCAGGAACTCTTCTTTTAAAAAGGTCAGCTCATCCGCCAGGAACACGGTGCAATATGAAGGCAGTTCAGTGTGGCTTTTCTGTGAAGCACGGCATAAATGAGACACCCATGTTTAGCACCAGCTGCTAGGCTCTGTTTATAAATTTGAGCCCAGTCAGTCACCAGGAGCCCCTCTTAGCAGGTACATTCATTTCTGGGGGTTGACAGGTACCAACAATAATCTTATTCTTTCGCCAGTGATTGGTCAAGGGGTTAGAATGTAATCTGATCTGACCAAAAAGATAAATAAGATGTCTGCTGGGTGTTCATAGGAAAGTTTTTCTTCCCTGTGACGAGGTACAGGACTTCAAAATAGCTTCTTTTGCTCTTTCTCTGCTTTGGGTAGTGTGGGGTTAAGGGCATGATACATGGAGGTGTGGTACATTTTGTAAACAATAAATACACAAACGTGAGAAGCCAACATGTTGAGTAGGAGAGAGGAGGATGAAGTTGACATTGTTAAGCCACTGAGTCAACCTCAAATTAAGAAACAAGTGCCATGGTGCCTTAGGTCACCATTTAGATGTTTGGTGTGTGTTGGTTTTTTTTTTTTCCCCAGTTGCTTGCAACTGAATACATTCTAAGTAGTATACCATCCAAGTGCACTTGTGGCAAATTGTAGTTTCCAAAAATGGCTGAAAAAATATTCCCACTCCCCCATCAAGAGATAGGATGTGCCTGCTTTCTTTGAACCTGCGTGGGCCTTCGGGGCCTCCTTCACCAGTGGAAAAGGTGTTATGCACCTTCCAAAGCTAATGTCTATCTTCTGGGAAAATCCTGGGAAGGAGACAAAGAAAGGATGCTTGACACTGTGTATTGATAAACTGACACTTACTTTAAAATGTTTACAGAGTACCTACTCACGTACAGGGATGAACATGTGGGCACAATAGGTCAGATCCTTCCAGAAGGAAAATATTCAGTGGGAAGTGGGGCCTGAACATACCGTGAAAAGTAAGATCATATAGGAAAAGTGCTTGGGGGTTTCAGAGGACAGAATATTGACTTCTTGCAGGAGGGACCTGTGACGGCTTCCTGAACTGTCGAAACTCTCCTCGATCTTTAACTTCCTCAGGGTTCCCAGTGCCATCTGTACAGATTCCTAATAGAGCAAAGTGGCAAATAAAACATGGGTTTTTGTGGAATTAGGAGAGTCTTGGGTTAAAAACTTTGCTCTCACTAGCTGTGCATGTATGAGTCTTAGCTTCCTTACCTGTAAACCAGAGATAGTAATTCTTATTTCATAGTGTTTTAATAAAGATTCAGTGACAATATAGGATTAACTGGTACACAGTAGATCCTCAGTAAATATTTTCTTCTTGTGTCAGGATAATGGCTCCACGATCCCATTTTTAGAATATGGGGTACCATACACCAAGGTGGCCTTCAGAGGTAGTTGCTTAGATGTTAAATTTCGTAGATGGCATCACTTTGGGAAAAGCAGGACAATTACAAACAGTGAAAGTTGCTCTGGGCGCCTTCTTCTGTAACTGTCTCCATGGTAAATTGGTGGCATATGCCTTTTTCCTAACACTCGCTGATGGCGTTGGCACCTGAGGATTTACCAGCGGCAGTAGCTGAAACCAGAGCCCAGAGAGGAAAGGAAGCTCTGACTCTCGTGCCCAGTTGGAGGGGACACATCAGTGGTTGCCCCGTTTGGTGGCACAGGGTCTAAAGTCAGACTAACTTGACTTTAAATTCCTAAACCTATATTATGAGTTTGCGATCTTCACCTTTGTGGCCTTATGAGAGTAATAATCGGACTTACGTTATGGAGTTGATCGGAGCTTTAGATGAATTCGTATTAGTAAAGCACTGAGGGCATAGTAAGGCTGTGTGTCAAATAATACATAAGACTGGGAATAAAATTACAGGCTTGATATACTGATTAAATGAAATAATATATGAAAGCAAGTACATGGCAAGAGCTCAATAAATATTAGCTATTTTTATGTCTGCAAAGGGACTCAAAGGTGAGGCAGTTAAGCAAGAGGGTGGGGCAATTTGCAGGCCGATGCTCTGTGACATCCAAGGACAGAGTATGCTGGGTCCAGCTTCCATCTGGAAGAATTCCGCCGGGTAAGAAAGCTAGAAAACCACCAGTACCTCCAGGAGTCCCTGGAGCCGCGCTCCCCAGGAATCGCTTACAACTTGGCTTGTTAAGAATCCACAGCTCTTATCAAGTCAGCGCTTCGCACGAAGCCTCAGTATCTCCGTCTGAGAAATGAGGGCCTGGGACCGAGGCAGAGACGTGTTCCGGGCCGGGGGGCCGACCGTCTTCGGCGAACAGCGTCGCCACGAGACAACGCCCGAAGACATCTCCATCCTGGCTGAAAACTCCCTCGGTAGGGCCTGCCTGCCACCACAGTTCCGGGTCCACCCCCACCCTCGGCGCACCACGTGATCCGGGCCGCGTCCTTCGGCCTCGCCCAGCTCCCCGCGCATGCTCCGCTTCCGGCTTGGGCGGAAAGCGGAAGTGTGGGAGGGTCTGCGGGGCGGGCTCGGGGAGGTCCCAGGGGAGGATGGAGCAGTGAGCGGGTCTAGGCGGCTGCCGGCAGCGCCATGGAGACGGTGCAGCTGAGGAATCCGCCGCGCCGGTGAGGGGCCACTGGCTAAGAGGAAGGGGATGCGGGAAGGAAAGGCGGGAGCTGGCGGAGGAGAGACATGCGTGTGCAAGCCCGCAGAGAGAAGGCACCTGCGGGGCGTGGCGACCCGGCTCATAGGGCACCTGCTGAATGGGGACCTCTGGCGGGTGGGGGTCCGATAGAGAGGTGCACGCGAGGAGGGGCGGTAAACGTGGGGTTTGTTGGGGAGAGTACTTGCTGTGGGATCATTCCAGGGCACAGGAGGGCACCGCCAAAGGGAGTAGCAGCCGAGGAACGCGGGGACAAGTTAGGGAGAGCACCTGCTAAGGGTGCGGTGGATACTGGGGGAGGGCGATCCTAGAAGGGACTCGCTGAGATCGGGGGAATACTGAAGCAAGATGAGATCCTATGAGAGGTCTAAAGGATGGATCTGAACAAGCAGAGAGGAAGGCTGGGTGGACTTTGTAAGGGAGGGAGTTCCATCTGAGGGGTGCAGTGGCGGGGAGGATCTGATGAGGGCGAAAGCGCTGCTCCTGAGGCTGAAGGTGTACCAAGAAAGGGTAAAGGTCTAGCCAGGGAGGGCTTCGTCGAGCAGAGCGTTTAGGAAGATGATCCTAATCCTAGAATGGTGATGGCATCTTTCATTCCTGGTA